GGGGTGACGACGAGACACACCATGGGACAGTCGAATGCACGGATGCAAAATGACAGATGCCGGATCGAATGCAAATGAATGCATCGTCCCAGGGTGGATACACAGGTGCCGATCTGTGTGTCCACTAAGGACGGAACGGCATACACATTTTCCTCTTTTTCCCCATTGGGGTGACAAAAATAGAATGTAGTTTTTGATACGGCAGGGCACCGGTGGTTAAAGATGCAGTCAGTTTAACAGCAGGGACCCAAAAACTATTTCCAACATCCTTCAGGGCGCCTGATTGCGAGACCCATTCACCAGGGAAGATAGGACACTGGTGGTGACGGGTCCAGTTAACAATACGGTTCCAAGTAAAACTTTGCTGTGAAAGTTTAAACTCAGTTTCAGCATATTCCAAGTTCTGATCAACAAGATAATATTGGCATTTGGCTGATTTTTTTCCCTTAGGTTTGACTGGAAGGGGTACTATGGTTTTTGTATATAATGCAAAGTCTATATATAGTTCCAACATGGCTGTTGGCCTGGATTCCACATTGGACCATTGCAACAACTGTGCCCAGCTGCTCAACCTATTCCAAAAAATTTCACCAAAAGGCCAATTTTCAGGGCAGGCCTGGGGCACATTATGGACAAAGAACGGACCAACGGGGATACGTGTTGTAAAATCGATGATGGCATCAGGTTGAATCTTAATCGGGGAATCCGTGACCTTGGATGCCATGTGCTTAACAAAATTACAATATTCAATCAGGAATTCTTGTTTTTCTGCCGATATGGCATAATGGCTAGAAGCTTTTGCAAACGTGGGATTCCAATCAAGGAGGGCTTGCTTCGCATAAGCGTCTACAGTATTATTTGCCATTGCTTGCCATTTCAAAAAAGGGTCGTCAATACTCTCAACATCAGTATGGGCTTTAGTCTTAGTGGCATCAATTATACATGGGGGACGGCTACGAATTTGAACCCAAACCCTTTCCCACAAATCATGATGATCCTGAATCTTGGGTGTGATATTACAGGAATGACAATCACAAAGATACTTTAACATCGCTAGGGCAGCTTCACAATCAATGTAAAGGTGAACCCGATAGCAACTCAACAAAGCGCCCCATATTGCAAAGACTTCACCGCGATATGCACTATGATCAACACCTGGAACCGGGGAAGCAAAGATCTTTGCGTGATCAGTTTGAAGAGGCTGGCACTTCACTGCAGCACCGGCTGAGATGCAACAAATTTTCAAATCTTGATGGAACGCCGAGCCATCAACAAACACATGCGCAATCTCCAAATCGACCAGGGGAATCACATTCTCCGGCCATTCTAACTGATTTTCCCACAACACTTTTGAAAAAGTCAAATCCAAGGGAACCAAGCCAAGAAGTTTCGTTGCAGCTGATTGTTTTGCTAACCATTTGAAAAGAGGTTTGGCATTGAATCTTTGGATTTCATACTTTTTACAATTAAAAATGCGATGTTCACGATCATCAATACACCACAAAGAGAACATTCGGGGTGAACATTGGGATTGAACTTTGCATACATGTTGCCGGTGCAAGCGGCCCCTGTAAAGTGCGTCACCAACAGTTGTTTTTGGTCGGATGGAAACTTATTCAAGACTTTCATCATCAAGTATTCATCAACAGAACTTATATCAAAATCTTTCCGTGATTGGGCTTTGTGGGCAGCATGTGTAGTCCATAAGACGCGCAGCCAATACTTCAAGAATGTCACTGAACACGCAACCCAATTAAACTGGAATCCAAGAGTATGTTGGAGGAATCCATCTGGCAAAGGTGCCCAACCAATAGCTCTGAAGGTCTTACCCAGACTAACTGCTGGGCCTGGTCCTGCTAGTGAATTAACAATTCGATCAAGAAACCCCACTTTTAAGGAAGGGACATTTCGGAAGAATCTTCTCCAAAACAAGCAGGCACGAATTACCCCCTTTAACTGTGGGTCAACTGGGCATGGGTTGAACATGGTTCCAATCCACGGGCTCGCACTTGCCTGTTTCCTATGCATTGCGGCCAATGTTGCTGTACGGATTGTTTTCCATTCTGCACATGGGATATGCTGCAATTCAGACCCATAGGCCATAGTTCCAAATCCGCAAGAATGGATCATTTTTCGTTTAAATTGCACAGGTATTTTACTTTTCTGGATCCTTTTAAGAACACGTGTGGCTTTTTCAATACGCTTTTTCCCAGCAGTAATTAATTTTCTCCTGTTACAATTAATGTCGCAGCCAAGGTCTACTGCATGGGTCTTATATGGGAAGGTGTGGCCATCTACTTGAATGTTGTTAAGAGAATTTTTCCACGAAAGCTTGGTTGCCCAAACCCAAGACTTTGGGAAAGAAATGGCCATTCGAAGACTGTTAACAATTTTTGAAAGCGTGAATATGGCTGGTTTGATCTGCGATGGGGCATTGGCAATCAGGCCCCAATTGTCTGCATAGCACAAAGGTTGAATGCCCGGGTGCATCGCAAGGAATACTTTGTACGTTAGCAAAGAATACACGGCCATCAAGGAAACGGACAATGCACACCCCTCTGCTATCCCAGTGGTAGCATTGAAGAACTGTGAGCAATTTCCTTGGATATCGAAGGATCGGCGAACATTTTTTAACAGGGACATCAGTCCTGTAATGTACTGATGGGGAATTTTGAGTTTTTCCAACAACATCGCGCTTGGTGTCCATGGGATCATGTTATAACATTTGATGATGTCAATTACCACCCCACACTTATCTTCCCGATTCCAAAAAGCATCTTCAACTACAGTAGCAGTATAAGCCGCCAAAGAATCGGCAGAGATGCCACCTGCAGTGGCAGCAACTTGCGGGGGTAAAATTGAACCAATATGGCGTAACACTTCAAGGCTTCTGAGTCTTGACCACGTCCTATATATTTTAGGCAAAATGGAAATTGGTCGAAAATCTAATGGCGATTTAGGCTCAAACCCCTTAGATAGTACCACTACTCTGGCTTGGGTCCAAAGGTCTGGCCACTTTGCCCCCTTCTCAATCGTAGACAGGATGTCTAACAGAAAATGAAGCAAAGGGCCGTGGACAAGCCGCAACTCGAAAGTGGAGAAGCCATCCGCTCCTCTTGCAGAATTTTTTTTGGCGCCTTTGAGATTTGCAAGCCAGCGATCGGGGGTAAGTGGCTGAAATTCACAAGTTGGACAATCATTAATACATCGTAAGAAGGGATTGAAATCATCCCAATAATTAACAGGTTCGTGACACGGGTCACGTTTCCACAATTTGCTCCACTCAGCGATCAAGCACTGGTGCATTAGTTCAGGATGGGCTGATGTCACAGGCTGTGTAATTTCAAGATCTTTACAATCTTTCAGAGTAACGGGGGACTCTAAAAGAATACCTTGGGGTTGGATTCTGCTGATGGATCTTTTTTGACCTTGAAAGGTTATCGGGTATTCACGGGAAATACCTTGGGTGCTAACCATGGGTAGCCAATTACGGCCTTCCTTGGTCCATTTCACGCGGCGCATCTGATATCTGGCAATTTTGGTGACTGATGTCAAAGGAGGAGCAGGAGCATCACGAACACTTGCAAAAGCTCTGTGGCCACCATCTTGAATATCGTCTGCAATTGATTTGTTATTGGCTGCATTTTTAGAAGCATAATATTTTTGAATCTCAGCGCTGTGAAAAGCATCAAATTCACGTTCAAGTTCCCATATGTACTCCAGGGATGGGAGGCTCAGCGGGACAAATAAGCCCAGATGTTTCCCAATCCATGTGTGGAAACCATTGCAAAATCCATTGGCCTGGAGGATGCAGTTCCATAACTTACGGCATGCTCTAAGCGTTGTCTCTTGTTTGTTTTTAAGAAACGATGAATATTGTTGACTTAGTGCTTTAATTCTTCGCAATTGTTTTGTCCTGTACCTTAAGCTGAAGGTTAGTTGAGACACGATAGGAGTAAATTCCCCGTTTCGAGCAGGTCTTATGACAGGGACATTTTCAAGCCTGAGTTTGAGTGGTGTTTTAACCCAACGTCCAAAATGACCAGGTTGAATATACTGATAGGTTCCTTCAGAACTAATTGCTGAATGTTTTAACGTTGATTCCACTCCATGGGAAAATTTTTGCTGCTGTTTCCATATCCATGTTGTGGATTGCATCCTGGAATTTCGCAGCATTCAATCGACAAAAATTGTCACCATACGCATCAATTTCAGCTTCATTAAATATAAACTTATCCAATGCTTTTGGAAGAACCCATTTCCAACTTGGCGTGCACAAAGTGGAAATTGAGAAACCTGTAACAAGCGCCTTGAATCTTGATCCACATACCCGCTGGAGCAAAGCGATTATTTTCTTGGTCCCCTTCCTTTTCCTTCCATCTTGGTATGGTTTGACCAACAGTTGGATACATCTGTTCCAAAACAGGCTTAGCACTGCTGAGGGAAAAGAAGGTGTCTGGAGTCGCGCTTTACCCCCCAGTGGGTTGAATGTCACGTGCCAGTCCTTGGCATGTGACATGATCATCGACTGGTTCAATACTTTAACGTTTTACATTTTACCATTAGAGAGGGGATTTCTCCTCTCTCTGACTCTCTCTCTCTCTGTGTATATATATATAATTGAATATAATTTATATTATAATTAAATAACAACAATATATATAATTATATATATATATCAAAGAGAGAGAGAGATATATATATATACATTTATCGTTTGCGCATATATATTATATTATATTATATTATATTATGTTATATTATATTATATTATATATATTATATTATATTATATTATATTATATTATGTTATATTATATTATATTATATATATATAATATATATATATATTATATATTATATATATATATTATTATACCATCTGCGTGTATATACATTGCAAACCAGCTCATAGTTTAAGTTCCGCACAGGGTATGACAAGCCACTTTGACACCTCCGATCTTTCCTGCAGCCCAGCGTCTTTCGGCTCGCGACAGCCTGGCTGCGATGCTGCGCGCGCGGCAGGTGGCCACGTGGCAGCTGGCAACGTGGCAGATATCCCAAGTTGCTGCGAAATGTGTCAAGGTAGTAATCCCCACAAAGATAGAAAAGCCATTTATCATTATTCAAGTAGGGTGTTACTTTTGATGTTTTTTCAGGGTTGATATAGCGGGGTAAAACAGTATATCCATGTACAACCAAGGAACATGGGGGCTCAAGGACCCTTAAACTCCCTCTAGGGTTCTTAAAAAAAGGGGGAATCCCCAGTCGTCACCATGGTTGTTTCAAGGCACCAATGAGGAGATGCCCGTAGACAGAGGGATGTGTTTTTAATTAATCATTTTTTGCTCGCAATATACAAGGTTTAGCCCTATGAAGTATAGAAAGTAGATAAATATACTTGTATCTGCTATAAACCCCTTTGATACCCCATGTTTTAAGGTAATAACAAATTGTCTATATCTCTCTATCTCTCTGCATATGCAATGCACATATACACATAGTATATGCCTAGATTCAGAATGAATCGACATATTCTGTGACACTGTGAAGTTGTGAAACATTCGAAACCTTGTGTGCACAGTGTATGCTATTGCAGTTGCATGTATGATGATAAAAACGCATCATGGTGCAGTTGACACTGCCACCATCATCACCATCATCATCATCATCATCCCTATTATCATCGTCATCGTCATAATAATAATCATCATCATTATCATCATCATTTTTGCAACGGATAATAATTGTGGCGAGAAACAACACTGTGGGTAGTTTTTTGGAATTGGCGTTCCATCGTCACATGGACATCACATGTTTCTGGGGAATTTATGGCAACCTCACTAGGCGACCTGACCATAAATGAGGGTTCATACCTGGGTAACAAAATGGGATTAGGAACTTTATTATGTCTAATTTGGTAATTTTGATCCTGTCTCCAGATGTATCCAATTTCATGTTTCAACATGTTCGCTGCAAACCCTAGGTTTATCCTTTGACATGCTCAAATCCCTGCGTAGGGTTTAAGTTTTTTTGTACTGTCCAAAACAACAACCCTAAAACCCCTAACCTAAAGCCCTAAACCCTAAATTGTAAAACCCTAATTCCTGAAAACTTAAAGTCAAAATCACTCCGTATAGCCAGTTTTCATTCATCCATAAGTATATCATAGTCATAGTGTTTGGATGTGTTGTTTGAGTGTGGGCGAACCCGGGGTTTGGATGGAACATGTTTCATTCACCAAAACAGGAAAGAGCATCGTGAAAGATAGGGAAAGAAAGAAAACACTGAGATGCTGTCCGGCGCCGAATTTGTTCACCCAAAAATGGAGGATCCCGCCCCAAAACCCCAAGAAAAAACGCGTTCGAGGCTAAGAGGAGGGTTGCCCCCTGGCGGTGTGCCAGGGCTTGGTTCTTGGGCTGCAGCCAATAATGTTGATGTTGTTTTTGTCAGATTTTGTGGGAATTGTGAGTATATGAGTTTCTTCTTGCCAATAGTCTTCTTTGTTTCAAGCACCATTGCCATTGCCATCGATTACTTATAGCCTCCATTCTGAATTCTATTCGCTTATACTTTTGGTCCAGCTCAGCATTTGTGAGACCCAGCAAAACCATTTTTTCTAAAAGTTTAAAACTTTTATTGTGGTATTGCTAAACTTTGTTTACTAGTGTTGCTATAAACTTTCAGCCATGTTTCTTTTTTAAACCAAGGAACTGGTATTCAAATACACTATCTAATGGTTACTTTATTTCATAGATTTTGATAGCAATTAGATGGGAAATACCAGTTTTTCCATAGTTTTTCATAGTTTTCTAGTACAGTCTTGGTTAAATCTCCAAGTCTTTCCCACCAAGGTGCCGCCCCTGCAGCAGCGAGGCAACCGGCGAGCGGCCCGCGCCGGCGCCCGCGCCGGTGCTGCTGTTCCGTGCCAGGCGGAAGCAGTGCGGATTTCGACAGATTTCCAGAACTAGTGGTTTTTGTTGTGTCACAGATGGGAAAGTCATGGAAAGTTATGAGTGGGTCAAAGGCAAAACACAAACTTAATACTGTATAGAATAGATTCAACACTGGCCCAGAAAGACCACAAAGAAGAACTTGTCATTCCTAGAACATGATCAACTTTTTGGGGTACTCTACCAATTTTGACTCGCCCATACTCAGTGGCAGAAACCTGCAAAGAACAAAGGCCTGAGATACAGATGATGGGCCAAAATTAGTGAGAACTGGGAGGTATTAAGGGCGTGTTATTCTACAACCATCTGAATCATTTGGAGCAACTTTACTTTATGGCTGCCCCAGCTCCAAAAATGTTGCGAGATAGGGGGAAACATCAATCATGATCCAAATTTCCAAATACTTCGCAAAGCTCACTGCAAAGGGATTTCCTATTTTCCATCCCAAAGGTCATTTTGAGGGTCCATTCATACCTTCTATTGGTCAAGTGCTAGTGTTCTCTACATAGTGTTTCACACGGCGATGGCCCTTGGGACCCTGGGACCCTGGGAGGTCCCTGGAGAATGAGAGCCGGAGCGTTGAGAATGCCATTACCTTTGCAACTGTGGGTATCTTGGAAACAATCAAAACATGGCTGACATTGGCTGACGTTCCAGGCCGGCAGCCACTTGGAGTCCCCATGGAACGCCCAAGAAAGCGAGATCTGAGATTTGCCAATGCCATGAATTTATTGTTCTTTTCATGATTTCTCCACTACTGTATCATCATCCATCCATCCATCCATTGATAAAATGGAGTCACCCAAATCATCTATTTACAGATGGGATTTTCCATCTGTTTTCCCTATTGGCCAAGGCATGAGTGGTGGCATGGGCTTCGCCTTTTTAGGACGGCGATGCTTTGGATCCGATCGCTGAGATGACCGTATGTTCCATGGTTATATCACCATTTCCCATGATATTCCCATGGAATATTTGTGATATATTATAGTGAATGGATGATAGTGTGATAATTAGGTTCCCATTTATTCACGGTTGGGTAGTGTGAATATATGATATGAATGAATCATCGTCGTCCCAAGAGGCACCTCTCCACTTCTCCAGGACTGGCGCCCTTAACCTCGCCCAATTTGTTCATGATAGGCTCGGCGGCCGCCCCGGGATCTATGCTATGTTTTTCCACCAAAAAAACGACCATTTGATGCCGGAACATGATGATCAAGATCTAGGAGTGGCCAATTTTTTCAGACAAATCCATTTGACATGCTTACCCTCCCCCCAAAAAATGATGGTAAATGGATGGTTTGGTGCTGTACAAGTTCAAAAAAAATCTCGCGCGGCATTGCTGAGTGTTGGGCTTGGTCACTTGATCTCGCGATCCTTTTTCTGTCAACTTCGTCATGCAAAGAGTGACTATGTGCAGGACACCAGCTCGGGGTTCCAGTATAGTATTATATATATATATTATATTCATTAGGTATACGCAAGAGTATATGTACGTGTATGCGTTGCAGCAACATTGCTATGTCAGGTTTGCTCTTGGCAATCTTTCAGGTGCAGTTTGGAGCCCTCGGCTGCAGCCCTGGTGAGTTTCCAATGTTTAAATGATGGATGATGATGAACCATCAAAATTTTGATGCAAGCATGGAATATTGGGATTTAACCTGCAAAAATGATCAAACACGGAACTTGACCCATCGATTCAATCGATGCATGGAATTACTCGAATTGTATCATTTCAAGCTTTGTCCAGGCACATCCTTGAAGAAGTTGACAAAGACCATCTGGGTGAACGAGTTGACCAGCCTTCTGAGTTTTTGAAAACACCCAAAATGGGCGTTTTCAACCCATGTCTTACTATGAAAACATCTATTTACTGCTCAATTCGCGAATTCTGCATCCGTCCAATGTCAATTCTTGCTTGCTTTCCATGAAAAATCATGAACATCCATTGATCTGAGGATATAGCTTGATCACGCGACAACTCTACATGCAGCGAAGACGCTGGGTCATGGAGTTGTACCGAGATGAGGTGGGACCAACGGTTGGTTGGTTATGTGGGATTCCATGGAAAATGGGGATACCCATCAAATGGCCAACCGTTGGTGGGGAGAATGATGGTAAACCATGGTAAACCATGGAAATTTGGGGTACCTACTGCAATAATCTGCAATAGACATGCCCGAAGATTGGTTTGAAGCCACACAAAATGAGGATGACACAATGATACATGATGGTTGGTTGGTGGTTGATGCGGATGATACCACCCGGTGAAATGGGATTGGTATGATCGATAATATGAATACCTTTTAATCAAGCAGTATAATGGATAGGGGAATTTATGATGGCTCAAGGTAAGCCAAGCTATGGTACATGTAACCCGACTCATGCAGGGAATATTATATACTGTAAATTCAGTTAAATTTATATATACAGTATATATGGTGGTAGGGGGCATGATTAGTAGGGGTTTTAATATGGGTTTATCATGTTCTATCTATGTGCCGGCATTCTACTGTTCTTCTCTGGGTGTCAGTCAACATTGGGTTTCCCCAAAAAGTGGTTGGCTTGTTCTACCCATGACCAAACTCAGAGAGTCTCAGGGTCTGAATGTGTGACCCAGGTGGATCTTTGTAACCGCATTGTTTAAGTCTAATCAATACCTGCTGCACCAATTTCTAAGTGCCATGGTTCAACACCAACCAAGACGAGGTTTCAGCAGTTGGTCGCAAGATGATCTGGTGAATCCACCATTTACAGATGGTTTTCCCAGCTATAAACCTCCATTTAGTTCGGGGATTTCAGTTGCCATTTTGATTTCAGGTAAGTGAAACAGCTATCACCAACCACATCTCACCAGCGCAGGACAAGCATTTGGTGGTAACTTGGCTTTTTCAGCTGTAAACCATAGGCCCAAAAGCGGTGTTCGTCATGAGGGAAAACCAATGCCACAACCCTGAAATGGAGTTTATGAACTTAGGTATGCCCCTGATCTGAAACGCCCCCCTGCATCCTGATGACCCTAATGATTGGCACTTTCTCGCCCATCTCATCCGAGGGTTGAGTGAACTTTCCTGGGGCGATAAATAGGCGAGCTGAAGAGGCTTTCAAAGGGGACGCATTTGGAAACATGTGGATGATTGATCAGTTGCACCCCAAATCAAACAGGTCTTGTGCAAACCACTTGGGGCTACAGTTCCAGTTATAAAATGTTATAATACATATATATATATATTATAACCATACACCATAGTTATAGGATGTAACTTCTTGGGGTTTCCAACTTATGCAGGTGAACTCGCCATGGGTTTATCCATAACCACAACGCCTCGCAGCTGAATCTGTTACTCAACTTCTGGGCCACACGTGCCTTTCGGTGGTGCGAGACTGCTCCACATGGAAAGCCCCTCATATCAGGCGCGTCCGATGGCCATGCTGGGCCTTCGCTGTTGGGAGATGTTTGGCCAAAATTAGGTCATCAGCTGCCCAAGTTTCCGGGAATCCTCGACTGAACTAGTCGGTATTAGCCAACAGACATAGAGGATCATCGATCCAAGGAGGGGATCTTGGTGGCATGGCCAGTACTGAAAATGGTGCTTCACTAACAATCAAGATATGCAGGGTCAGACATGGGGTACCAATGGACAGACAGACTTGGTTGCTCTTAGCAATTCATCCAAATTTTGGGGGTGTCAATGATAACTTGACCTTTTGACCAAAACAGCTCCATTCGCAAAAAATCCCCTTTTTCAATGGTCAAATCCAATTATATAGTATCATGAGTTCCGTACCATCTATGGATAAATAATTGTGAGATCCCAGGATTCACATATAATTACTTTGATTTGATAATGATTTTATTGTAGATATAGATGAATTCCAAACTATTTAGAATCATTAAGTCATTGCAAATTCATAATGTATGTATATACATATACATATCAAGATCCTATATGAACAAACAGTAAATCACATCGCTGAAGATCAGATTTGCCGTGTCAGGATGTTCCCAGCTTCCCCAGCGACTCCCAGCCCAGTGAAGGTGGGAAACTCTGGGAAGGTGCCTGGTGGTGGACTTAGCCAACTATTCTAACTGGATATATATATATATTATACACATGAAACCCCATGCACTGTTGTGTATATACTCTAAGTATATATTAGGTATACATCTGATATTCTCCGTGTATATATATATAGATGTATACACATATTTTTATACTATTTCGTTGTACATTCAACTGCTATTGCCCACCATTCCTTGGATATCTTCCCCACGGCTCCGCCAGGACCCCGCCCTCTCTGTACCACCGAGCGATTGGTGGGTTTGACAGCATTGGCTCTCTGCCTCTGCGCAGGCGTAGGCGTGGGCGGTTTGGGGACGAAGGGTTGCACTTGGTACATGCCAGGGATCGTAGGTACATGCCAGGGATATACAATTACTATTACTATTAATGATATGTGCAACAGATATAGACATAGATATAGTTTTAGATTTGGATTAAGATATGATATAGCTGGGGTCTAATATGATTTATTTTACACAATCTTTTAGCCACATGACGTTTCATACTCAAGCCATCCTCAGCGCATGTGGCCACTATTATGATTGTTATTTTCATTATTTTCATCAACACTCTTGAATACACCAGCACCAAGATAGTCATAAATATTGTAGTACTACTCGTGTAGTTACTATCATCACCGGGATTAACAGGATGTTTATCACATTTTATCACTAACTATAGTTAGTTGTCACTTTCTGGTTATTTCATGTTCTTCAGTTCCCAGGATTCCCAGGATTCCCAGGATTCCGAAACCACCTGAGCTGCGAAAAACTCCAGGGCTAATGACCGGGAAGTCACCTTACGGCCTGCAGAAGGCTGGACAACTTCGAGGTTTCAAGGAGCGCTGGGTGAAATTTTTGGTCACCACTGGAGGTCATGCATCCAGTATGGAAAATACCATGAAAATGGATGATTTAGGGGTACCCCCATGGATTGGAAACTCCCATTTGATTCTGGTGGTGAAGCACCAGGTCCTCACCCTCTTTGCCTTCTTCGACAGGACGTGCGAATGCTGAGCACGGACTTTGATAACATCGTCGCTTGGAGAATTTTTTTTGCAACAGAGGATGACAACCTGCTAAGTGCAAAAGACGACATGAAGTTCCCGAACAGTGCTGGTAGAGATCTTTAGTGAAACTCTAACGCCCTGTGTTCAGAGTTGAACATGGGCTGGCAAGATAACTTGAGGTCATGCCAGATGATCCAAAAGACGATGCAGATTGCAACCAGCAGAACCAGATCGTGAGCGACGAAGGGACCTACTGCGGTGCCATGAAAGATGGCCAGCGCGACACTTCGGGACGCTTGGATTTGCTGATGAAAAGTGCAGACACACACTGGACTAACTTTCCATGAGCCAACCTTTCCTTGTTACATTGTGGTGTCGAACATTGGAGATTGATTGGTCTTGCCTTGTTCAAGATGGAAACGAATTACCATGAACATTACGAATTGCCATGAACTTTGGTTGACTGAAAACTGCGCCCCGCATGGCTGACTAAGCCCCACAAGTTGGCGCAAACAAAATTTGGGTTGGTGGTTTCAACCCTCTGTAGAATCACTAGTCAATTGAGAATCATCATCTTAAAATATATCCTAAATTTGGGGCAATGTACAAAAAAAATCTGGGACCACCAACCAGATGACTTTTAGGATTGCTATACCAAGGTCTTGGGCCTGATGCCTATGGAAAAATGTGGTATACCAATGGCAACAGGTTACCTGGCAGGTCGCTCTGTCGTTTTTCCCATGCGTTTCCACCTGTAAACAAAAGTGGGAAGATTCATCTTAGATGGCTGATATATTTTTGGGTTGCTCAACCACCATCCAGTCATGCTTCATCCATGAACTCATACATTCTTGCTGCTTATCGCACTCAGCTGGTCAGAGTTTCAGCTTGAGCAGCCTGGCTTGGTTGTTGCCCTTTAGTCTGACATTCTGTACATCGCCATATCCACTTTTTATGGTTAAATAGTTAAATACCTTTAAAGAAAGTTTGCTGCTTCAATTCCGATATCCTTGTATTGCCATTGCCAATTGTTTGCATCCTTTAAGGTACGTCGGTTCCTGGCGAAAAGGTCAGAGGAGTGGTCGTGGGACGAATTACTACAAGGGCAACGGAGACAGGTGGGGGCGTTGCGCTTGTGTTGCAACACCCAATTTAGCAATGCCAATCCCCCCTGAGAATTGTATTTTTGTTGATGGTGATATTTGGGCTTATACTACTTGGCTCTAATGAGCTAACTGGCGGTTCTGGGGGAGTTAAAACCTACTTTAGGAATTCTATCAACCAAGCAGTTGAAGGGGATGGGGAGGTTTTGGGCACTGCTCTTGATGGACGGTCCATGGTGAGTTGGTCCAATATCCAGGGGAGGTCACTAGAACTAGAACTCCTCTGGAAGTTTGTGGGTCAGCAGTGAAGGATGTCTAATGCATCTACCGGGTCCTAATGCATCTCTGATCAGTCACCTTTCACCTTGGGCAGAAAGCATCAGGATTGTCTAGATTTCTGGAGGGTAAGAGAGCAACGGCTTCCCCAATGTTGGAGCTTAATTAGCATTAGCAAGTATGGGTGGAACTTAATTGTCTGACCGTGGAACTGCAATTGCTGGTGACCTTTAGTGGCAAGCCATCCCGCGAAATCGTGACTCATTCCTTCAGCTCCATCCCAAGACTGCACATATGCAGTGGACATGAGATTTACCACCCTTCCAGTGGCGCGACATCCCAGTAGCCTGACAGGGACCCCCTGTGAGGTACATGGGCGAGTGGAAAAACGACCAGAAGAATGGAGCCGCCAGGGTCGTCTATGGCAACGGTGACAGGTTTGAGGGCAGCTTCAAGGATGGCTACAGGACCGGGGTCGGTACAGTTGCTTGGCACGGCATCCACTCTCCGTTGCCGACTGCTTGGATACCAAAGACTTGGATGATGTTCGTGTCATGGTCGGAACCTCCCATATCCCACTGTCTCCCAATATGGGGATGCATGGGACGTAATATGACGTCCAGTAGGCATCTACTACAGAGATCGTCCAAGTCAAGCAATCAATAAATTTGACTCCAATCATACTGACGATGTTGTCGCTGCTACTTATGTACTGTCTTTATTGCAGTCCATGCAATCCTTTTATATCACAAACAGAGTGTCTTGGAGGATGTGCCGTAACAGGTGCAGAAAGCACATCTCCTAAGCTCATTGTTTGATCAACACTTGCCCTCACCCAAGTCGATCTGTCCGTAGCTGCTCGCCTTCAATCTGTCCGTAGCTGCTTCCCTGAGGTTTGGTACGGCAACGGCGACAAGTACGTTGGGGAGTTTCACCATGGTAAGAAGTGGGGACATGGCACTGATCCTCTCATGAAATATGGCCACGTGAAATGATGGTAGGACTTGTGATATCTAGTGAATGTTTGACCCTAACCAAAGTGCCAGTAATTTTTAGGCAGAAGGGGACACAAAACAAGACCAGAACTCAACTCAAACCACCCAGGGAAGCATACACTTGTAGTGTTTAAATGTGATGATGATGACGACGATGACGACGACGATCGTGATCATGTCGTGTTCAGCTGACTTCCGGCACGGTCAAATGTAGGGTTTGCAGCGAATGTGTTCACTGTAATATCCCCAATTTCCATGTGAACACAAAGGCTGCCTTGGCGGTGCTACCCAAACTCCCCTACACTTTTCCAATTCTTCACAGTTTTTGCCCGGCCCATGTTTTGCGAATCGTTGTCCGAGGACTCCTTCAAGCTAAGGAAGTGAACTTGGCTGAAAAGAAACATGGCCACCGAATGAGTGCCATTGTTTTCAGAAAAAAACGGTAGTTATGGATCTCAATTCCCATAAAATATGGTGTTGCCTGTTTTGACCATTCCCAAAAGCGAAAAAAGTTGAACAGAAAAGGTAAGTGAGAAAGAATGGGCCCTTGGAAACCCTGGTTGGAACCGAGTTAGATGGGCACCTAATGATTGGGGCGTTAAAGCCATCATTTGTAAGTGTCGTCAGGACCCATCATGGAATAATATGTTGGTTTTTTGAAACCGCACTTAAAGAGAAGCAGAATCAGGCTTCATCCCATTTTTTGTACCTAAGTGAGACAAATTGAACGAACATGCTCTGTTGAATCACCTCTCAAGGCCGTTGTTTTCAGCCAGATCTTTGATCTGCGATCCAACTGCGATGTGCACAAAGTTGCGCGTCATGTAGCGTGGATCCTGGTCCTAAATTCCAGGGATCAGAACAAGGGATAGCAGCTGAACTCCTGGAGAGTCATCAAGAATTTTCTGATGACTTCACCTTTTGTTCAGAGGGGTAGAAGACTCATTTGCGTACTTAACGCAACCTTATCAATGCTAATATGTTCACGGCAGCCATTCCCTTATTTTGATTCACTCGAAATGAGCGAAATGACACTGAACTTCGATTGTCGGGATATCCGTTGAGCTTCGATGCGCCCGCGCAAAAAGATATGTACTGCTTGGGTTTCCATTGAGACGATCCCTGAAGATAGTGAATGCTTTGCAGGATGGTGGTTTCACCATAGAATCAGCCACTAGATCGACTGTTAGCAATACACCTGGGCTTTGAATTTGTAGCCATATGGGGGGTTCCATACATGGGATCCCCAATAGCTGGATGGTTTACAATGGGCAATCCCAATCTAGGACATCACCATATATAAAGCCTAAACTTTTTGCAGGAACAAACCACCAAGGCAATGATTCCGGGGTTGGCGAAAGGGGATAGGTTCACCACCACTTTCTGTTTCCAGGCCTTTGATGATTTTGATGTGGAAAGACATCACTATGCAAACAGTTTCTGTGGAGAGAAAACAAAAATCACTTTTGATCGTCAGGGACAAACATGTGACGTGGTTTTTCAGATCATTTGTGCCCCAGGATGCGTGGTCTATGCCTTGCTAAGGGAAGGGTAGATGAGAAGATGAAAACAATGGGCCATCCACCACGAAAACATAGATATTTCGATGCATTCCCTCTATAAATTGTGTTCCGCAATCAAACTCCATTCTTAATTGCCCAGGGTAGGTGAAGGTTGCCATACCCACACCTATCATTAAAGAAACACCCATCAGTGTTGTTGGTATTGACTGCTTATTGTGGCTCTTCATTTATGATCACTGCCACCTGATGTGTCACTAAGACGGTGGTTTGCGACGCCAACCTGAAACGAGTCTGGACCTTGGGGAATGATGCAGCTACAGGGGATACACCTTCCATGCAAGCACCTTGGACCCTTTCAGCTGGGTGGGATCCATCGGACATATCGGATGTTGCTGGGTAAGACCTGTTCATTTCTTGTGAATTTTCGACATAGATGGAAAAGTCGACGATCTAAAAGCTCACGACGGTCAACTCCGCAAACAAAGTCATGGAAAGTCACTGACCTCATGAAACCATGGCCGTTGATGGAAAACCAATGTCGGCATGCTCCATTTTCTGCACCCATCTCTGAATCCAGGCCCCATCCCACCGAGGATATAGCGGAGAAGGGCAAAAGTCTCTTGGCGCTGTCTGCGAAGATAATCCCTTCCCCCGGTCGTCTCAAACACAACCGCTGAGCCATTAAAAACAAACAAACATACATTGGTTGATTGATTAGCAATGGTAAATAGTTGTGATTAATATGATGATTAATGGTGATTAATTGTTAATATGCACTGGTTGATTGGCTAATTTGTTGGGACTTATACTACATAATTATTTATTGGGGATTGCGATGACCCATAGTAGGGAAACCGTTTTCAACCAACTAGTATTTCATGCGATGGGATAGGGGTATTTTTAATGGCTCATGGGCTGAATCCCTGGTTAACCATCATATCCCTATCATCCATACCTTAGTCATAATTGAGTGATAGGTTTAGCACTGGACTCAGTCACTGGACTCATTTCAGCCTTGATTGCCGACTCCCGACCACATGTTTGACCTTGAAGACTCAAACCTATTTTTCTGGACCCGCACACACAACTAGTCTCATATCACTTTGGGACATTGAGAACTAAGCACAGAACCTTTGAAGAACATCTTCTCAAATTGTATCAATGTTCATCTCCATTTTCTCCATTTGTTTCTTGGGTGAATTTTAGAATCCATGTTAATGTACATCCATGTTCATCATTTTTTAAATAATTATTGTTACATCTTTTTACTGGTTACTGGTGCTTAATTAGTAATGGGGGAGTGGGATGATTGTGAACATATTTTTGGATTGGACCATTCCGCCATTCCCTACGTTCAGCACCAGGAAGTTAATACTTAACCATCATCCATCAACCATCATCCATCAGATCATCACAATTTATATCATCTATAAAGTACACCTCTACAAGTACCATCCATTGAGATACTGTGAATGGACGAAATCCTGCACCATTTGGTAGATGGTTTATCCAATTATAATCCCATTCCCATTGTTTACAGTGTCTCATGGTTACCTAATGGTTACCAACTGGTGCGGGATTTCGCAACCATCCACCGTATCATTTATAATTATATCTCATCTATAAAGTAAACCTATATAAGTACCATCCATCAGGTCATTATAATTTGTATTTATATCATGCACTCGGTTTCCCAGCGGATTTCCTTTCGCCGCTGTCGCCTTGAAAGCCGAGTGTTCTTCTACCTGGACAGAGAAGTGGGTGAGGTGATGGATGCAGAGGCGGAGCCGGTGGAGCCAGTGGAGCCAGTGGAGCACGAATTGATGTCTCGATTGCATCATTTGTATATTCTTTGTAATTATAGTGTGTATATATATATTATTATATATAACATATAAGTGTATATATATATACAGTGTATATATATATAGTTATATTGAGTTGCGCTGAGAATTGTTGAAGACCCTGGTTAGCATTGCAGAAACACTCTTGTCAGCAATGTGCACGAAACACTGTAAAGCGATATGGCCCACCAAAAAAACGAAAACTCATACAATATTTATACTGTATTAATATGTATTCTACAAATTATAACATATATATGTATATATATATATATTATATATTATACACATACATCTGTAGCTATACATGTTGATTTGTATTCTTTTGGGGGGTGCCCAATTTTAGATCCACACCCAGATACAAATCGGAATTCTCACTGTTTCAAGGCCTGAATTCGAGGCCGATCACATTGTCCATACTCTCCATTCCCCAGGCATACCAAAAACTGGATGCTTGTTCCAGTTCCCATCTCCCTTTTACAAACGCATATACTGTACGCCACTATCATCCAGGGTTTAGTCTTGGACCGATTCATGTTGGGCTCCCCCAATAGGGGGTGGCATTTAATATCATTTTGGCTATTTATACATATATATGATTATATATGTAAATACATATACGCATTTCATGACCGTTATACCCGGTTAAACCGAGTTAAACCGAGTTAAACCGAGTTAAACCGAGTTAAACCGAGTTAAACCGAGTTAAACCGAGTTAAACCGAGTTAAACCGAGTTAAACCCAACATTTTGGACGCTTAAACCCACCATTTTGTGAGGGAACGGATGATTCCCATTGAATTTTCACATGTTCCGTGCTCTGGGCGGCACCTCACCTGCTTGGTGCTTCGGAGGGGTTGGATGCCCTGCTGGCCGATTCCAAGGGCATTGAAGAGGAGAAGGCCGGGACGGACAGGTGGATCACTGGAATCCAGTGGCCAGTCGTGCTGATTGGCCCGTGGCATGTTTCACTTGTCTATAAAAAAGGGGTTGCCACATGGATATAATAGTACATGGATTAATATAGTACATGGTCCATAGGTTTGTCAAACTTGGATACCCTGGTAGGGAAATACCTAGCAGAACCAGCTGGTGGAACCCCCTGTTTGACTGCAAGGTGGAGGTGAAACCAGTCACTTGGTTGCAAAATGTCACTATCATCCCCAGTCGGTCACATTTGTTTGTTCGTTGGTCGCAATCGTGTTCAAATTGCTATTTTTGGAGTACACAGCTACAAAAAGTGGTGCCCCCAGGTATTTGTTGATTTACAAACCCCATTAAGTATAGATATATGCACCATAAACCCATAGTATGAATAAGATGTGTTGCTTCCATGAGCTGCAAGACTTACTGGTGCGTAGTAGGAAATGGGGGAATGAGATGATTGTTAATATGTATCATTCCCCCATTCCCTACCAAGCACCAGAAACAAGATCACCAGAAAGTCAGGTGATCGGCGAAACTGAAGAACTTTCCAAGCGCATTGTGCAGTCATTCAGCGAACTCACGCGCACGTAGTTTGGCATGTCGGGCTGGGGGTGGGTTGTGGTGACCTTTCAAAAGTGTCCAGTCTGGTGGATCAACGCCGCTGTGTTCAAGATGTGGGATGGCACGCTTGGAGCTGGTCATTCAGCTGGTCTATCTATTTCGCAAATTCCAACTGGATCTCTACCCCCACACCAGTCATAACTCCAGCTTTAATGGAGGACCCTTATGTCTGGGGTTAATCACATGGGAATGTGGGGGGGATCAACGGCAATATGAGGAACAATATGTGAAGATTTCCGGCAATGCAGTCCCAAAGATATGAGCCTCAACAAGAAATGCATTTCTTTTTCTTTGCAGCAAACAGTATACATCCCGCCATGACCTTGAAAGACTTGGAATGCCAAAGCTGAATTCATACTTTGCTGGTCCTGAGCAGACTACTGTACTAGTACTGTAGTCATTTGAGACCAATGCTAGAAACTCCCGTGGATGCCTGGATGTGCCCTGGTGCCCTGGTGCCACGTATTCACCCATAGCCAAATAACACATGGGTGTGAGTCGAATTTGGGTACTGTACACCCACAATTGTAGTCCCTTCCATTCCCCTTAATATATCTTAATATCAGATACCTCCCTGGAACCCTGGTTTTTAAATGTTTTTGATCTATTCATTTTGGGGGCCACATAGGAGAATTTCGGGGAGGATGGAATCTTTGTCGATACTGGAAACCCAGGAATCTGCAACAGATGGCCGGGAAGGAGTTCTCTGCGAGTGGCAGTTCAAAATTTTGGAAACAGCATTTTCGTGTGGAAATCATCATTTGCCCCAGGTGCTGTGGAATTTTACTTCAAACCAATTCTTGGAATATTGAAATTGCGCAAACGACAAATCACTTCGATGACAAATTAACCCGACTTGGCCGGAGCAACGGTGTGCACTGCCCTCAACGCACGTTCTCCGCAAGATCCGATTGGGTTTTGCCCTGTGCCACAGCAGGATGGTGGATCTCCTATCCAGGCGCATTGGTCGCATTGGGGGGCGCTGAATGGTGCGATCCAAAAAAGCATTTGTTCACAACTGAAAGACCTGAAGACAGATGTTTGGGTCTGGTGCCAAGATTTCCTTCTCTCTCTTTGATTGCGATCCAACTTTCACCCTCCCCAAAATGAGGATTTCGCGTTGCCAGGTTGACTAGACAATATAGCGTTTTTGTAGTCCTTGCGCTCCGGGATGTTTTGCGCCTTCCTCCCACAGTTTCTCCGTCGCCAGCAGCTGGACGTCTTGGAACGTGCGGCAAAGATCACCGGAGTCAGCTTCATGACGATGGGTCTGCTATTCTATGCCTCCTGGTGGCATGGGCATCAGGACCCCCGAGAGTAAGAATTCACAAATTTTGGGAAGCCCCAAAAATGAATAGATCCCATTGATCCAATACCAAACCAGAGGTTTGTGGGGTTTGTGCACCCCAAGAAAAGTAGGAAGTTGATCAACATGGGTCACAATAAATGGGATGCTTGCCCGGAGTTTGCCCCAGTCATACGTGGGATATATATATACATAATATAATATATATATATACACATAATATATATATAATTATATATATATATGATATGAAGGACGGGGAGTTGAAAGATGGTTTCAGAGGGTTTCAGATCCTAAAAATGATCCCCAACCCCATTGTGAAGTGACCCTGAGCCATATCGACTTTCATGTTTTTCAGAACATACTTTCTGGCTAAATTATAGTGACCTCACTGTGACCTCACTGGAATCATGGTTAGAAGGGGGAATTATCCCAGCCTTATTTTAGGTTGTTGAATTATCATAATTTGCCCAGATACTTTGGTACCTTTTGCTCAACCGGTCCCACATCTCTGTGACCCGCCCAAGGTCATGGGAAATTGGTCGGCTCAGAATGCCATCCACCGTGCAGCGCAGTCCTACACCCCCAGCCCAGCGAGTCATGCCAGCCCAGCCAAAGCGACGTGAGTCAGCTGATTCTTCTGTCCTGAGACAGGGTCATCCAGGATATCCATGGATTTCGGAGAATTGTATAGCTATTTCTGCACAAGTTTGAGTAGAGAAAACACATTCTTGATTGTTTTTTTGATGTTCTGAAAGAATTGACTCAAAGAGAAATCGAGCAAACGGTCCAGTAACAGCACCTCTTGATACTCTTGATCCAAATCATGCAAGACAAGAGCGGGACTTCAATGCTTACCTTGTTTTGAAGCAAGTTGTGCGATCTTGGAAGAACCTGACTCTTGGCCGGAGTTACCCATTGATTTGTGCATAGCAAATTGCTGGATGATTTGTGGCAGTCGAGCAAATGACAACAATATCCCAGTTGCATTGGAGGATTGATTGATTGATTTTGGTGTTGTGATGCTTGGCATGGCAAGAGAACTCAAGGCTATTTCACAACCAGCACATGGTCCCATGGTATACAGATGGATCTCAAGGGAGTTCCCCCACCAAACCGAGCCATGGATTGAGCTGCCGGAAATCCTCCGTTGAAACACCGGTTCCTTACCGTAAAACGAAGCCGTGACGCAGGACAGTGCCAAGCCTTGGCTCGTCAAAAAGGAAGCCATCCAGTAGATCAGTAGATCAGTAGATCCATATTTCGCTGGATTGGAGTCCATGTTTAAATGTTTTTGTCGCTGATTTATATATATTTTCTTTGGCAGTAGATGATGTTACAAAGCCATTTTGGTCATCTCGATCTTACAATACCATCCAATGGATTTATGATTCCCAACATGGATTTCCCAATTTTGAGCCACAGTCCCATCAAAAATCAGGGCTGCTCCAAGCCGTTAGAAGTGAATTACAGCGAGAAGCAGGGAAAAGGGTCAGTGTTCCTCTTTTTCTTAGCCATTTACAGTAACATCATTTACCCTCTGGTAATTCAACATAGCTATTGAACATGACCCATTTATATTTGATTTACCTATTGAAGATGGTGATTTACCATAGCAATGTTAGTTTGCCAAAGATTTAACCACCCTTGTAGTTGCAGTTACAGAATGTTACTCGTACGGCCCACCGAAGCCATTACGGCTCTATTGTGGACTCACCTTGCTACAGCCCCTGGGGGCCCGTGGTTCCGTGGTTGGGTTCCCATGGCGCCTGGGGGTCGTCGTGAGGGCGGTCATGGCGCGTGGGTGAAGAAGGCTCCTGCGGGCGGAGAGAAGAAAGATGAAGAGGTCGATTTCAAGGGCAGAATCTTTGCTGATCATCTGGGATATATCTGGATATATTGGATATATCTGGGTAAATTTCATCACGACCTCACTGCGACCGAACCCTGGAAATCATGTTTCTTTAAGGGGGAATCATCCCCAAATGGCGATTGCGAAGTATTTGGGCCTTAATTCAGGTTAGTGAAATAGTGAAATATTATAATTTACCCAAAAAAAATAATGGGCTATGGGCTGGTGGCTGGTGAAGTAGCTTCTCGGAAAATGGTTGGATGAGAGATGGCTTTGTTTAAAATCCAGGTGAATTTATCATCATTTTCCCTATTAAAATTATTAAATAGCTATGTGGGACATTCTGGGACGTATAGATATGAACCAAATTCCACGGTTGCGCAGCTGCGGTTTCGGCTGTTTTTGATTGTTGAAAAAGCTGGCGAATCCGGCAAGAGATTTTGGGGTATCATTTATATAAATTGGAAACCATTCAATGTCTTTTTGGCAACGGTTGGGAGATAGTGAGCCATGAGGTGATTGGTTTATGTCAAGATATGTCAAGCATTGTCAAACATTGTAAAACATTCAAGGAGGTTGGACTTGGAAACATCAGTGCTAAAAATTCAGAAGAATGTTCTATCCCGCATTCAAGGACAGGTGGCGACCAAGAAACATTCCATGAGATCTGAATCTACCCGAAACAACAAAGGAAACAAAACAAAATCACCCTGACATGATGATATGGGTATTCGTAAACCACCAACCAAATGTGTATATGTGTGCACATAGGTGTTATAGATGATATCTCAATGATATCTCATGGAAGGGATCATCATAGAATTTCTAGGGCGACTAATCATAAAATTGGTATTTCCAAGAAAAATCAGGGTTGAACATGGCCCAACTTGTCAACGCGCGTGTTCACCTAAAGGAAAATGCTACATTGGGGTTTGGGGTGCTCCACATGGACCCAGAAACAGCAGAATCCAATAAGAAAACATCATGTTCTCTATGAGAATTGCGATATCATGAGGATAAACAATGATAAATCCATATTCATATTAACATGATCCCTCATTTCTGGACAACCCATCCAAGTTTGCTGTCATTCACATAATTGTTGGTGAATGTCAACCCCGGAGTCTTAAACCCGCACTATTCACTGGGGCCGTTTGCCCAAAATAGCGTTAAATTCAGAACAACATTGTTAATAGCCCCCTATTGATAAACTGAGGGTTTGCGAATCTTAGGTATTGCTGGTTATTAAGTTAAGTTAAGTTCTATTACTACTATTATATTATTATTATTAGTTATTGTTATTATTACTGTTATTACTATTATTATTACTGTACAATCCCTTTGGTTAAGTTAAGTTATTAATCTTGACATATCTTGGCCATCGCTGGGTAATACCACCAAACTCAGCCTAAGGAGAAGGCAAAGGCAAGTCCGGGCGCTCCAAGGGCGAGCGTGGCTCGCGAAGGGAAGATGATCATGAGGCGGGTGAGTCGGGCAGATTCGGCAAGAAATCTATGGTGGCTTTGAACTGGAGATCGTGATTTATTGGTGATCTACTAAGAATTCATGGAACAATATAGTGGTATAATGGGTCGGTTATATTATGGGATGTAATTGATTTCATCCGGGTAAATGATGTTGCGACCTCACGTCGCGAGCGATGTTCTGGAATGATGGTGAATTTTTGGGGTGATCATCCCCGTGAGGCAAGTGGGGGGGTTGTTTTGATTTCAGCAACCAATGTGATGACATCATCATTGGCTTAAAATGGGATATGAGCAGCCAGGATACTTGCTATGAACAGCATTTTTTTTTCAAGTTGCAGTGGTTGAAATCACCATTCTTATGGGATGCGGTGCGAGAAAATTTGGGAGTTGCTCATTGATGTGGCCGGGGTCTCAAAAAGGGAGAAGCCTGGCACCCGGATGGTACCCTAAAATAGCTGTTATAGCTGGCTGGATGTTGATTCCCCAGGTCACATATTAATGTATAGTAATAATAGGTTTTGACCGATCCCCGCAATATACCAAGAGGATCCACAAGGAGGTTATTGGAACAGAGTGTCTCTCTCCGTGCCGCAAAATCGAGCCAAACCTTTCAGGCGAAAGGCAAAGGAAGAGCCAAAGGTGCAGTTTTTTTTGCTGTGGGGAGTTGCGGAAAGATGGGGACACTCTTCGCTGATAATGCTGATGGGATCTGTCCGCCTGGTGAGGCAAGCATAAGAAGGAGGAAGGAAGAGAGAGTAATTCCGGTGAAGAGGAAACCGAGGACTGCCATGACCAGACTTAAGGCGGCTTAGACAGAAATCGAAGACCTATGGCTGAACATGGTTTGGTCTTCGAAGTGGTCATATCATTTTGGTGCTCAACTCTTCCTCTTTGTTCCAGAATTAACGTTATCCTTATCTAAGAATCCACGCTCTTTTGGTGCCTGGGTTTGCTGAGAAATGATTTGAAAAGGATAGGTGTGGCTTAACATTATCCCTCAAAATGAGATATACTATGGTATACTATACTGTATGGGTCTATTTAATTCACTGGCCCATTTGAGTTATATACTCTAAGCAGCAAATCTGATGGGCTTGCAACCATCCACCTGCCTGGGCTGAAATGGGACTTAATCAGGGTTCCAACCCCATTTACAGAAACTGTGCAACCCCCTATGTTGTAAACTGCTATGACACGTGTGTTCGCCTATACTTTGTTAGGCAGTTTCATTGTGCATCTATTTGCAGTATAGCCATCCCCGAACAGATAGAACAAGTGATTTATTCTTATTTTACTGGAATTTTGCTTTTCTATCGGCATTGCTATGAACATCCACAAAGTCTGCAGATCTTAACGTGGCATGTCTTTGAAAAGGACGGTGGCAATGCGCTGCTGAAGATGTTGAAGGGTAACGCCCAGACCACTAAGAGGTGTGGCACCTGGGATCATCAGTACATATCAGATGTGTCCGATGTTCCCAACATTTTTTGGGGGTGCTGTTTTGATGTGAAGAGTTTTCCCGAAAGGGGAACCAGTTGATTGAAAACTGGCACGTTGATATTTGCCACCCATGTGTTCCATTTTTCATCGTACGAAGTCAGCTACTGTACTGCTGGGATCATCCCCATCATATGTACTAATATATAGTAGTCATAGATAGTCATAGATAGTCATAGATAGTCATAGATAGTCATAGATAGTCATAGATAGTCATAGATAGTCATAGATAGTCATGGATAGTCATAGATAGTCATAGATAGTCATAGATATAGTCGTCATCATCATCATCATCATCATCATCATCATCATCATCATCATCATCATCATCATCATCATCATCATCATCATCATCATATACATCTACATCTACTGATCTGCCACGAATGACATCAATCCTCTAACCAGTGGAACAGCCACCTTCCGGCGCCGAACCAACAGGTTTAGCTACTCGAAGGCCGAGCTCTTGAAAATTGCCACGCTTCCGGCAGCCAATGTCAAGCCTCCCGACTTGGATCCCATCGTGGATAAGGACAACAAGGACCAGCAAGAAAAGGGGCCCAGGGCCATGGCAGTGCCTGGGAGAGCCTCCTGTTTTTCTGGTTGATCACCGTCTTTTCTTCTCGGCAACAAGAATGCCGTGATGGTTCGGTTTCTTTGCATCCATGTCCCGGAAGTCAAAGCTGTATACTGCATAGTAAAAGACCCTTCACCCATATTTTTTTGCACGAAGATGTCATCTAAAGCACTTTAATCCAATACGTCTTGCGGAAACATGATTAAAACTAAAACCCAATAGGGATCATCAAATCTATCTGTAAAAGCCTCATTTAGAACCATATTACAAGCATCATTCCAAAAGATTAAAACCCATTACCCTCTGGTAATCAAACATGGCTGGAAAATTCCCATTTAGTTCGATGATTTTCCCAGCTATAAACATCCCTTTACAGTTTCATGTTCAATTGAAACCCATTCATGTGGGATTCACCCAATGCCATAAACAACTCCCATGACCGGGGATGGTTTATACCTCCCACCCATCAATTTATGGTGATTTGGGTTAGTGATGGTTTCTGCTTTATCGTTGGGTGAATCCCACATTAGATATCATTCAAACATTATTCAAACCATCTAAAACCAAGCATTTTATGGTGATTAGCTATGGTTTTAGGGTTTAGGGTTATGGCGATACTGCGGTTTTATATGGTTCTATTATTATGGTGATTAGCCATGGTTTTATATCTAGTATTTATATGTATCTATATGTATCTATATGTATCTATATGTATTTATTATGGTGATACCATGGTTTATCCTATTTTAGACTATGGTTCTATTGCGTTTTTACCATGGTTTATACTACATTTTTTTGGTAGGGATTCTCCCATCCTCCCATCCAACGCCGCGTCGCCGCAGGACTCGGTGCTGTTGATCCGCATCGCCACCAACCGAGAGAAGGAGGAGCACGAGCCGAACGGCGAAGACCGGCGACGGGCCAACCCCACGCGCCAGGTGCCCCGCCCTTTTTTTTGGGGGGGGTTGGGGAGTGTTTTGTTTTTTTTTGTCCAGAAATGGTGGTATGATTGATAATATATATATATCATAGGTAAATATACACACTGTATATATATATATGGTATGATGATGTATGATACTGTATTATGTGAGAAAGGTAAGTAAGAAGTAATTGGCGAAGTACTTGCAAAGCACTAAAGTGGCTGAGTTTGGAATTTCATGTTCCCACGAATGTGAGAAAACTGATGAATAAACCATCCCCAAGTAATCGTCAACGTAATGATCGCCGATAGTAATGGCTTATATTGGGGGACTATGGGAATTATCACCCAAAAAATCCATGATTATTGAGATATGGGACGGGGATTTTAGCCGAGAAGAATATGGTGGATAAGACATGGGGAATAGGCCGTTTTCATCCATTGTACCCGTACCCAATATTCCATTATTGGGATATAATGGAGGATAAACATGGGATAACAACCTACTAACCGGATGTAATGGGGGATTCTGAATAGCATAATTCAACAATGATGGGGAATTAAACCAATCATTTTATGGGGGTATTGTATTATGGGATACACTGGGGGTATAATAGAAACATCATCATGAATCTAGAAGGTAATGTGGTAAACCCAAGGCCAGAAACCTCAAAACATTGGGAATTTTTGAACTCCCACCAAATTTGGTGAACTGGAGGCTGGTTTATGGTTTGGGGTTTACCACATTATAGCAGTCTCGAAGTTGAGATGCAGAGCAGGCTCAAAGTTCAAATTCAGTTGCTCTAAAATAGAGTGGTATTTTAAATGGTTCTGTATTGTTTTGGGGTACGATACTTACTATAGTTTTCCAAATGTTTGGTACGGCTACTGATGACATTTCGCAACATCTTATGACATGTTGTAAAGTCTTTTACATCTTTGAATATCTTGAAACATCTCATAACAGTATAATATACGTAGGAACAAAATTTGGTTACTGTAATGGTTGTTCAGTGAACTGAACAAAATAAGGTCGCTTAAACATGGTTGACGTATATGTGATGTATACGATCATTCAGATATATCAATCCTATCTGATATACTATTGATAGTCATTTATTAGTGTATATTTGGAATATGAATATGTGACATACCAGTTTTTTTTTACTTTATTCAACCATTAGGTGTGTATATATATATGATGTGTGCATATATCATATATATATATATGATATACATATGATATATATATATTCATCCAGTAAACCCCACCAGGTCCCATGAACTCCCCTTCAGGCTCGCACGGAGGGTGAGGCCCGCGGCGAAGTGGCAGAGGCGGCCGAGGCGGAGAGAGGCTTGGCGATGGATCCCAGGAGAAACTATAACAGTAGAGAACTTAATGTGGATTTGTCCTGGGATTAAAGCATATAGTTTCTGATAAGTACTATATTATTGTACTATTATAACAGTAGAGAACTATAATGGAATACACTGGGATTTTATACTGGATTGATAGTGGATTTGTAGTGGATTATAAGTGGATTGCAAGTGGATGAAAATATTGGACATGGGATTTATGAAGTGGATTTCATGGGATTTAGCCTCTGGTCGTTGAACGTAGGTCCTTTTCCTAGGTGATGGACAAGCCATTTAAAAACGCAGATATCTCTGGAAATCCATCAGAAAAGTAGACCATTCCGTAGCTATGCAACACCCATTATAAATTATAAAAATAGATCATTTTCCTGGGAAAACCATCATTTTGTAGATTTATTTTGGGGATTGATCCTCCTCTAACCATAAAAGTGGATCATTTCCCGAACGGCTTTTCCGCGTATGTTTTGTATGTTGACCCGTTACGGGTAACCATCAGAAATGTCGCTGGTCTTCTCTCCAAAAGCGGATAGATTTTTTTTGCTTTGTTTGTTTATTATGTATAACTGTATAAATATATGAAGATAGAACCAACCAAATCTAGGGACGTGATGGAAAATTGGGATAATTGACGGATATCATGATAAAACCAGCAGAACATGTGGATTTAACCGTTTAACCTTCAGGGCACTGACAATTTAGACTGACCTCATCAAACTGGTCTGACCACACTCCCTACCCAACGGATGATAAACCAAGGACCGGCTGAAGAAGAGGATGATGAAGAAAAGGCCCAGGCCTTCGAGATTCTTGGCTTCGTTCAAACTCTGTGCATCCATTCTACCAATGAGAAAGTGGGAGATCATCCACCAAACCGGGTGAAACATGTGGGAGTTTAGCTGAGGGTTACACATGGAATTGGTGTCTTATAAGTTGGTGGTCGTTCATGAATATCATGAATCCAAATCAATTTCAATACGGACAGCCCCCAGCGATGTGTGTAGTATAATGCCCCCCCTTTTTGTTGCCGGATTTGGCGCCGTCAGTGTCTGCCGATCATCAGTGGAAACGCGGTGAACAACTGCTATCCACAAGTGATGAAGCCTCCAGCTTCGATGGCATATCATGATGATGGAGATGCGGCCAGATTTCCAGAAATGTCTCCCAAAGCAACCAGTCAATCCAGTCAATCTCACCTCACGTTTCAACGTCCCACCTGCCCCACTTGGCTATGGGGCAAACCCAGGAAAACCTGTATCATTCCCTCTCAAATCCATCGGCAAGTTTTGCCTGATCACTTGGGGTCACCCAGCGCTTAGGAAAGCTCCATATACCTCACCTATAAACTCAATTAATATCACTGAAAAAAAACTATCATGAGGCAGTTATATAATCCCCCGGGAATCAACTGCAGCTTTCTATCACAACTATATAGCATACCTATGTTTTGTCCAACACTTTTGCAGCCAAATCAGCCCATCATCCGCACAGCAGCTCACTGGGAATTCCACATACTCGTATATGGTAGGCCTGGTAGGCCTTAGCCCTGCAAAATAGGCCTTATGGTGGTATACATACCTCCAATCATTTTCAGTTCCAAAAAAATACATAGCACTTATAATAAAAGTCCTTAATATAATGGTATCTCCAATAAATCGCTTCCAAAACTTCATTTTGCCAAACATGACCATCCTAGTCCTTTTATAACTAGGCCTCGCAAAAATGGTGTACCTCCAATTTTGGCCTAGCCCTGAAAAATAGGCCTCACAAAAATGGTAGGTACATCCCATAGTTTACGCTGTTCCCAACTTAGGAAGTGGTTGGTCCGCAACATGCCCAAGTTGGAGGCCGCCAAGGCCGATCTCACGGCCAAGGCGGCTGCGGCCTCGGCCGGCACAGGGGCCTCAGCGTCCACAGGGTCTTCGATGACGGCGGCGGCGCCCAAGTGGCCCCCCACGGCGTCAGCCATGGCGGCCGCCATGGCGGCAGCCGGGAAGAGTGGCAGCGCCAGTACCTACATGTCCATGTTGCAGCGCCTTGGAATATGGATGATTGGAGATGGAAGGAGATGGGCTGCTATTTGATATTCTCAGATATTCTGTACATGTATGATACATATATATATATATACATATAATTAAGAATACATTTGATGGAATGTACATCTATAGACATGTAATGATATGTATATTATGTATAGGGGTTTGACTGGGAGCCTAATCAATGGGGGATAAATGAAAGATGAAGAAAGAAGGGAGGTTTTGGAAGTGTAGACTATTTTTGGGTGTCAGGAGAGTAGTTGGAGTGGTCCCAAACAGATGCAAAATGGCTGTTCCATGCTGTTCCTTTTTTTGATCTTGGTGACTTGAACGTCACTGTTTGTAGATGTTTACAGAACATTTGGGATTTCCAACTCACATGCCCTTAGCAAAAAAAGCTCTCCCCTCAGGTTCCAACGTCATCACTGTCCTGAAATTAGCTAGAAGAATACTTCTCAAATCGTCAAATCGATTTGTCCATGAAGCTGAGGAGTTGAATTTGGAGGATCATCCCACTCAGATCCACTTAGTAAGTGGTTAGTAACTGGGTATCACCCATTCCGAAAAGCACTCGCTGATGCTGCTACCCAAGGCAACAGGCTGGTGCGGGTGCTGCAGCCAGCGGTATGTCTCCGGCGCATGCCATGCAAGCCGCAGCATATATGTAACGCCTCTTCAAGCGTGGGGAATGGTTGATCAATGGCTAAATGTTTATGCATAAATGGACCATTTGCGCCATAAACCGAGGATGCTTGATACCAAAAAATAGAACTTGTTGCAAGGGTTGCCTAAATTTGGCAATGTTTTTCTGTGCAAGAGAACTCATATAGTCTTATTTTGCATTGAACAATGCATGGATTTTGCATTGGCGAATCAACACCCAATTTACGTTGAAAAGCACAGTCCACAAGAACTTTAGCAGGGAATCCCTGGCCTGCTCATCAGCTTTCAACCATTTTTGTTGACACCTTCATTTATTGTGTATGTTTTACACAAGGCAAACACACGAGGTGCGGACGAGTCTCACTGCAGTCCCTGGATCCTGATTTGCCGAGGCAAGCAATGACGCAGATGCAACTTGCCGCAGCCAGAAACAGCTCCTTGGCACAGATATATTAGATCTAGAGGTCGCGTTAAAAATCACCATTTTTGGCAAGCATCACCTGGTTTTTACGGGTTGATGAGTGGTTGGGCATTTTTCTAGCTGAACATCACCTTGCTCCCCGAGTTTCGGTGATGTGAGGAACGCTCAGTTATCAAGGAACCCCAAACTCTGAATGGTGCCGCCAATCATCGGTGTTGCGTTGCTTAAAATTGTTCTAAAAAAAATGTTTTGAGGTCGAACTATTTTTATGCTAGAAGGCGGTTGGTTGCTGAAGCTATATGTTTGCACGATTCGGTGTTCAATTTCGGAGAACAGGTTAGAACAGCACCTGTTGAAAATGTGGACGGATGTCCCATACGGCTGGCATCCCATGAAACACTGAAAGTTCGTGGATGGACTTAAAGGCGGTGTGTTTTTCCCAGTGAGACGGTATCCATTTTGGAACAGCTCTGCAAGCAACTCGACCGTCTGCAGGATTTCAATGTCGAGAGGGTGAACATGTTTTCATTTGGGTGTCCATTTCCTGCTTGAAGTAACTTGTTTATTCTTATCCATGATGCAGAGCTTCTATCCGATCGGACGTGGACGATATTATAACTGATTAATATATAATATAATATACATACATATGTATACATTGCATTGAATGGCATTTCAAAAGTAAATTTCCACATCTTCCGGCATTTCGATGTGTTCCCAACCATGTTCCCAACCATGTTCTTCCCTCCAGCGGCTGGATTCTCAGGTTACAGTAGCCAAACTTGGAATGCCTACAACCAGTACTTGAATCCCTACATGACCGGAGCCTACGGTCCCTTGCCACAGACGCCACAGACGGCCCTTGAGAATCACCTGGGAAGCGTCAGAATTATCCCATGATTAATATAATAATATTATATCAGCCCCATGTAGCCCCAAAAAGATAGAATCGTGATATTGTAGCATGGTTCGATGATAGAAAAACCACTGTTCTATCAATTTTGGGTTTGCTCTCTCTCTCTCTCTATGTATATATATATATGCTATATGGTGATTTCCATTGTTGTGTATCCATTCCCTCTTTTGCATACTGTAGCCATCATATTCGGCCCACAGTATCCCAAGACGTCCTGTCCCAAGGCCTGTAGACTGTTCCAGGACTTGGCTCATAGCCAGCAACAAGAACCAACGTTTTCTAGCCAGAGTGCAGCAACAACTTCAGATGACAATTAAAACACAATTAGATCCGTTTGAATCATCTTAAATCCTCTTAACTCATCTGAATCATGTTGAACTCATAAGTCATGTTCAGGACCTCCAGGCTCCTCCCCGGCTCCTCCGGCTCCGCAGGCGCGGGCTACGGCATGGATCCCTTCACCGCGGCTGCGGCCTCGCAGGCGGCCGCCTCCAACTTGACCGAGGCGATGCAGGCGAAGTTGGGATTGGGAGCCGCTTGGTGCCCGCGAGGACCGTGTGTTGGATGGTGCAATGGTGTGGTTGTTGGATGGTGAATGATGTGAATGGTTGGGGCCTGGAAATTTTTGTTCAAACGATTTTTGAGTTGAGTTTTTTGAAGAGCTGGTTTGAAGAGCTGGAAGAAAATGGAAAAACATGTCAGGATACTGTAGTTTTTTCCTTGCAATGGGGAGAATGGATCAGGGGTTGATATTGTGGCAAAATGAGGGTTGGAACCCACAGAAAGTGGAGAATATGGATGTCCAACTATCAGGTTAAGATAAATCAAAGATCTACACAGGAATGGAAACAGCGTTTGATATCTAAGAGAAAAGAAGCGTACCGTAGGGGGGGTAAGAAATAAAACATTTTTTTTGAAATAAGGGCTGATAATCATAAATATGTATATATACTTGTATGATCTTGTGTGATCTTGTATGATCTTGTATGTACAGTATACTTATGGTACATGATCTTGCCAACACATGGGTTGTCACCTACGTACCAAAAGTATTGTTGTTAAGCTCAAACAAGGAATAGAGCTGATGGCAGAGCCAACCAACCAATCTGCCTATGGTTGAAATTTATTTGGGATTCTCACCACTATAGTGGAAATGAATATACATGTACTTTGTTGGTACTTTGTTGGGACTTTGACAGCCCCGTCTTAATTGGGGTGATATTACCCAAAATTGATCGTTTGCTCTGTAGCCCAATCTGATCTTTCAGTGACACATGAAATTCGCGAAGATCCTTCAGGGCGTTTCGGATCTTGCCCTTCCCGGTCTCCAACTAAGGCTCTGAACCAGCAACGCAACCTTGGCTACAAGAGTTGGGGGGACATCAACTTCATTTACTGTGTGATCCTGATCTCTAAAACCCTGAAGCAACTGGAAGCGAATCCAATCTCAACCTCAACATGAACTAATCTCAGCATGAATCTCAGCCGCAGTGGAGATATTCTTTAGGAGCCCTGCTCCTCCAGATGGGGCTCATAATTCCAGTGTGCCGCTTCCCGGAAAGATGGGTAGATGGTTGATGGTTGGTATCACCAGTGATTTCAACATGTTTCAATATCTCTATCTGTCGCCCATTAATCTCCACTATGGTTGGAGACATTCCTCATTTTGGCTGATCGACTTCCCATTCTTTACCTGGGAGTCAACTGGCAATTGGGGCAGTTTCCATGTACCAGCAACCATCATCAACCAACATCAAACAGCATGAACTCAAACCTCAAACAACATAAACCAGGGACACAGGAACTCCAACCTTATATATATATATATGTATATGTGTGTCCACATTGTATTATGTATATATAATTATATAAATATGTGCGTTGCATATATATATATATTACGTTTATATATATATATACACATGCACGCAATTGGGTTCACAAGAATGTCAGGAATCGTAAGTGGGTTCACAACAAGTTATGGTTGTATATCTGTATATCTACATAATTCAATATTTATATGTATGTATACGGGATGTCCCAACTTATGTGCGTGGAGATCTTTCTCCAGTTCGCTTTCCTGGGTCCTGCACATCCAAGCACTGTGCGTGCAGGTGTGTTCAGTCCGTGCTCATCTTGTTATTCCCAAACCTGCTTGGTTGATCTGGATTCTCTCTTTTGCCAACATCAACCATCAAAACGAAGAATGTCTTGCGCATCTTCAAACCCTTCCAGCTCAGGGCAATTAGATAGTTAGATCATCCCATATATCAACCATACCTCCATCATCCCATCCCCCACCATCCCCACCATCCCCACCATCCCCACCATCCCCCACCAGCCCAAGGCATTTACCCCCTCCCATCATCGCCAGGCATGGCCGCCATGAAGGCCGCGGCCACCGCCAAGGCTGCGAAGGCCACGGCCAAGGCCAAGGCCGCCAAGGCCCCCGGCCCTAAGACGCCACCCGCCAAGGCGGGGCCCAAGACATCGCCGCTCACGGCGCCCGTGCCGGCGCCGGCCGTGGCACCTTGGCCAATGGGGGGCCCAAGGTGGCCAAGGGAGATGGGGTGGAACATGAAGATCCAGCAAATCTTGAGTGGGCAGTTAGATGATGTTAGATGGTATCTAATGAATATATTATATATGTTAAGGTTGAATACAATGTACTTGTTGCATTTGGGCTGCACTTTTTGGGAAACAGCAGGGCACACCAACCAATTTTGGTGGATGATACCCCATGCAGAGTTTTTTTGAGATGAGATGGCTCCAAAAACACACTGAAAGCTCAGAATCTCTACATATGTTGTTTTGGCAATTCTCCTGAGCATTCCACATAATTTCCTGGTGGACATTTACATTCCGATCTATTCTTTCCATGTCTTTGGTTTCTGGAGAGTTTCACCCCATTTCACCCCCACTTGATCCACACCTAAGGCGGGTTTGCTGCCAAAGACCAGCGCTCCCAGCTCCCCTCAGCTGCAACCCGCTGGCGCTGCGAGCGCCGCCGCCGCGCCGGCGGTCCCCCCGGCCGCAGTTCCTGCGGCTAGCGCCGCGGCGGCACCTGCAGCGCTGGATGGACTGAAGGCTCCGGGGAAGAGCGGTGAGGAGGAGGATGAAGCTGGATGCTCTCAGAGCTAAGGAAACCAGTCCGGAGACTCAGGGAGACTGAGGGGAGGTTGGATGGATCTGGTTGATGGTGATTAGCTGATGGTTTTGGTGCTTTATTTTCGGGGGATAATGATGGATGGGTTTTAATGCACAACTTGAATGAAACACAATTAAACTCCAAGATGAATCAACGGCTTTGTAAACCAGGGGTGTATCTACCGGTTCCCATTTAGCTCCGGGGCAAACTTTGAGGAGCATGACAGATGAACACAGTTCATCTTGATGGTGGAATAGATTCAATGCTAGCTTTTTGAAGAGGTATTAGCCATTTGATAGTCGGCTATGTTATTGGTTAGCATTATCCTGCTTGTTGATTATTCCCCAAGAAATGTCCCCATTCAAATGGTTTATCTAAGTTTTAGAGATCTTGATCCGCACCCAGGCATAGTCACATCACTCTTACGCATCGCTCCGAAACGATCTCTGATCGCGGTCGCCGCATTGAGCATCTCATTGCGGCGTCCGCGGGCGAATAGTTTGGATACAAAGATCTTGAAAGTGCACAATTCGGACAGGGCAAAGCCATTTTCGGACGCTGCGTCCAAAAAATTAGTGTCGCGAACCTTCGAACCAGCATATTCCATATATTCCATTGGCATGTCGTGTTCAACTATGCGATTCTAGAGCAGTTTCATCGAACCAACCAACAAGCGGAGTCCTTTTGGTAGTCTGGGCTGCCCTACCGGCTGTGCCCCTGGCTCGCAGCCTTCGTTTTGGGGCCAGTCGACTTGTCACGATCATCAGTATACAGTGACAACCGCAGTGTTGTGATGCACCCGACTTGAGCGATACGTTCCGTTCGTTGGAACGTGGACATGAGGATGTTGACTTCCAAAAAATATTTATAGCAGCCATTATTGGATGGATCAGTGATCAGAGGCATTTTTTGTGCAACGAAGTTCAAATTTCGGTCTGTTGGAGCTAACAGCCACAAGTTATCATGGATCCAATATGGATCCGTTATCATCATGAAAAAACCATTGTATATCATCCTAAACACCTGACGCAGGGAAACCTGCTGCTCCTGACCAGCCAAGGCTGCAATCCACTGCCGGGTCAATCCACCTATTTTCAGACACTCCCATTTAGAGCAGTGTTCAAGACCCTTGTTGGTTGATGATGATAGGCATAGAACATCATAAAACAATACTCATTTTGTTTGGGGATCATCATAGTCCGTTAAATAATGATTATAATGACATGATAGAGGGCTTGCTCATTTTGAGCTATGTTTCAAGTTGTATTCACAGCAGGGCTAGTACATGTTTATTGCTATGTCAACGTTAGATAAAAAAGAACCAAACAAAATATTGGCAGCTTCAAAAAACAACCTTGATGTTTTGTTCACGAATTAGAATTACTATACTCTTTGCATACTGGGAATTTTCATAAATTATCAGAATCCATGAACTGCGAATCTCCATTAACCAACCATCACAAACATATCATTTCCACTAGGCACCGCTCAAGCCACACCGCCCCTTTGCGCCATTTCTCCGTGGCGCGCTTGTCGATCTCACCCGCGCGTTGGTGCATTCGGACCCTTCAATTTCACTGCGCGATGTGAAAATGGATGCTGTGCCCTGCGGATGGGTCAATGCCTATGGCAAAAAACAACGGGGAATGAACAGACACATCAGCTGTTTTGGTGAGAAAACTAGGGTTTAAAAGTGGTCATCAGGGTTTAAAACTCAGATCCGAATCCGAAATTCGCGAAGCCTGGCAGAATAAGCATGGATAAGCTCTTAACCCATGAACCAATAGCTGGGGGGACAGTGACATCATGATGAACACAAGCACCTGAATGGTCAGCAAGCCAACTACTAGGATCTAAGTACCGCACTGGGAGTTGATGTAGCCCTTATTGTAAGGAGTCTCCAGTGTTGGATGACCATCACTCCACTTCTCTTTGTAAGCTGGTTGGTGGTTTCACATATCTTTTTACTTGTTGTCAGTAGTTGGGAGTTGACCACTATTTATGTTATGGATTGACGCCACAAGCAAGATAATTCTGAGGCAGGTGTTACATTGCTGGTGAACCCTCCTTTCTTTGCGGTTCATATCGTCATAATTAATCTCCAGACCAGAACCCCCCACAGTTGTGGTTGTGCAAGCACCAAGCAGTCAGGTTGGATCTCAGATGTGTATCAACCAGGGACATTAGCCACAATGCTATATACTTGTTGTCTTATATCTTATTACACACATTGTTCTCAATTCAGCCCCCAGATTGTAGGTCGAAACTGTCTTAGCTAAGTGTTTGTAGATGTTTGTAGGCTTAGTAAACGGGGCAGAACCCAACTACAAGTGGAAAATGATACTGTGCTTGGGGGTGCAGTTCCACTTTCACAAGTGGGTTATAGTACACCGTAGTTGTAGGGCTTATATCCCATCTTTTGGAGGTTATTGCCACAGTTACATAAGGAGTTATCAAGCATACCTACTTCAGGATTCCTTTTATTTCCCATTTTGGCGGCGTCAAGCATAGCCATTTGGTGCTAAAATAGGCCGTGGCGAAGCCACCCAAAAAGTCATGCTTCTGTCACGTCTTCATCAAGGAAATGCAAGGAATTTTGATGTAAGTCACCATAATATCTTGTTAATTACTGATAGTTCTTAACACTATCAACCACCATTTTTTGGTTGATAAGGTGAACATTTTAATGGTTATCACTACCCAGGATGGTCATTGTTGGTTATAGTCATAGTCTTAGTACTAGCCCCCCATTTAATAGTATAGCAACCGCCCAAAAGATAGACACAGAATTTATCACTATTTCAGTGGGCTTTTACTTACTTTTCTATATCTTTTGGGGGGTTATATAATATATATATATGCATACTATATATATATTATAATACGTATATATTATATATGTCATTATATGATCACCCCATCTGTTAGTGCCTTCAACGGCCACGACACCATCCCGCTAGGGCGTTCCTCCATTGCGACTTCCTCCAACCCCTCGACGCTTCTTCCCACCGCGGGCGTGGCGGTCGCCGCAGCGGCCGTGACCGCGGCCGGTGCGCGCCGGAAGACGCCCGGGGACTCAGGGGACGGGCTGGTGACAAGGCGGGGAAATCCCCATTTGGAGGTTCTTGTTGGGGGAAATCATCTATAAATGATGTCTTTTACATTGCAATGTTTGTCTACTCAAGGGTAAATCATCCATAAATCATAGATCAATCATCCAAAAGTTAGAGTTGATTTTCCCTGAAGTACCTTTCGAAGACACAAATTTTCCAGCAGGATAGATTGCCAGCCAATGGTCATCGTCTTTTGGACAAATTTCGAGGAGTGGAGTAGGACCAGTCGATTTCATAAGCGGATCATCCAATTATACCACCTATAACATACTCCAGGTATTTATTATTATTTGGGGGGCCGTAGTTTACTAGTATGGGGAGAGGATTAGTCTTCCTGAAAGGTGTTGAATTATCCGAATAGCCAACGGCTTCAAAAGTGCTATTAGGCCTTTTTTGGATTTGACTCTTGGATAATAGCATGGTAGAGCACGTGCAATGCGACTTTCTCAGCAAGCAAAGATGACATGTCCAGTGGTTGGGTTCACACGATGTTCTGGGGGCTTGTGCGCCGTATCGCGCCAAAGTGTTCGGCTCAAGAGTTTTTGCAGATGTAGCTCCACCCAGTGGAGACAGGACAACAAGCTTCGTACTTTGGGAGCGGTCCAAAGTCAGGGAACTCAATAGGCTGGCAAAGTCCAGTTTTGGGAAGTCCAGCATTGGGAAAGGCGTCCTGCGGCTGGTCACTTCAGAGGGCGGTTTCCTAGATGACCCTGATGAAACTCTAGAACATGCTGGACTCCAAGATGGTGACCACCTCACCGCTGTTGAATTTCAGGTGATCACCAGTCTCACCAGATATGGATATGCCTGTCCAAGCTGTGATGCTCCTTTTGTCAAGTGGTCGGCGTGCCATTGTCACATCTTCAGCGAAACCAAGTGTTGGAGGAAATTGAACCTGTCAGAACCATTCTCAGAACCATATGATTATTTTGGTTCTGAGCTCCAGGCTAGGTGCCTGGAAAAAGCAGAGAGGTTATTTCTTAAAGAGCTGATGGATGGCCAGCCGAGTCCCATTACCTCACGGGCTGAAGAACTTTGGAGCCCAAGCCATCGTTTTCAGTGAAGTTGCAGAAGAGCACTCTTGGCACCAAAATTCCATCCCCAGTGGAGGTGCTAATCTGTTTCATCCCTACTGCAGGAAGACCTTGTCGTGTTGTGGTGACTCCTCTGTGGTCACAGATCGGTTAAAGAGCGTTAAAGAGCGTTAAAGAGCGTGCAGCAGGTTGAGGCTACTGATTATGCATTCTAGGTTGACTAATGACCAACAAAATTGAGGAGACTTTGGCAGCGATTCCATTCAAAACAGCGGTTTGCACAAAACTGAGAGTACGTTGTAGGCTGAAGAAATGTGATACCATTATATACCACTACTATTTGGGCAGCATTATCATCCTCCATGAAGGGATTCAGTATTCGGGTTCATGTGGGGGAACCCCCTGCGAAAGCAAAATGTCCACATGCGAAAGCTACGCGAAAGGAGTGTGTCAAGGTCGAGTAGCGCCTGAAACGCTTGAAACCATCCCGTAAGGCTCATGGACCCAATGATGGATCAATGTTTTTTCAAGTTCCGAACGAAACACTCCGGGAGACTCCTGGCATCGGGATGTCGTTTTTTCGCTTAAAAACATGCAGTTCCTGTGAAAGATGAAGGGTTAAGAGTCCAACAACACAGAGAATATAGGGTTTTATTAAAAATAAAAAACAAAAAAAGCAGAGCGAACCCAAAAAAACAACTAGAAAACCAAAAACAAGAAAAACCAACATAAAAACAAAACAAAAACACTTATATAAACAAATTATAGAGATACTTGATTATAGAAATACTACGTATTAAAATAAACACTAATATATATATATACTTATAACTCATAATAAAATACATATATAATCATATATAATATACTAACACACTATATAATATCGATACCATATCTATATCTATGCAGGTCGCGCCTGGCACGCCGAGCAACGGGATCGGCTTCTGAGCGACGTGGCGCCGAGCCGGTCACAGCCAGGCGACGACTGGGACTGGAAGGAAGTGGCTTCGGAATTGCTGGGAAAATGCTGGGAAAATGCTGGGTTTACTATGGTTTGATAGTTTTTTTTGATGGAACATGATGGAAATGATATTTTGTGGGATAAAGTTCATCAACACTGATATTTGGGGTGTATCTGAAAATGCTGTGTGTTCTCCCAACTAGCCATTTTTATAAGGAAACCAATTGAATTCAACTTAAAGCAGCCATCATGTTGGCTTGAAGCCCATGGTGATACATCCATCTGGTTGATTCAGGTAACTATTGGTGACTTTGAATCACTGTAAATAGTGGGATTGTACCATGACTACACCGGGAATTTTTGCTCATCTACTACCAACTGCTGCAGGATTCCGCAACTGTTTACACTTAAAAAAATCCCATCAAAAACAGATAGTATCCCATGATTTATCATCATTAATCCCTATGAATCCCCGTGAAGTCACCATATCTGCAAGTTGTAACCTCATCCTCCCAACATCTCAGGGCCGCCGTGACCGATCAGCTGGTCACTAGCGTCGACCCGTCTCTAGGGCCCCAGGGCACGTGCGCCGGCAGGGTGATGCAAACCCTTCAAAATTGGAGGTTTCTGGCATTGGATTTACCACAGTGTGGGTAAAACAAGTGCCATAAACCCAAATGGGTGGTTTGTGACATTGCTTTACCCACAGTATGCCAATGACGTTCAAGATTTTTCGGGTGTTCAGTGATTTTCCACGGATTTTAAGGACGGATCCATCTTGGTTCGGGTTCGGTTCTATCGCAGGGTATTTTTACGAGCCACCCGCTCTGAAGGCACCAGTCCTGCAAGATGTTGGTATTTTTTGTCATGCGTTTGCCCAATTTGAAGGGTGGTTTCAAAGATGTACTTTAGATTTGGTCATATACAACTGTTTCGGAATAAGTCGGATGATGATTCCCAGACACTGACATACTATATATATAATGTCCACATGGCGTTAATAAACCCCCCCACAATAAAGTACGCCAACTCCCGGGAAAAATTAATAAACCCCCCCGTAATAAAGTACGCCAACTGCCAACTTGTTTTTCCCGTTTTTTCCGTTTTTTCCCTTTAGTATTCGTTTTCAATCAGGCAAATTCATGTGTGAATACTAAAATGTTTTTTTCCGTTGTTTTTCCGTTTTTTTCCCTGTATGTATTCGTTTTCAATTAGGCAATTCATTTGTGAATACTAAAGTTTTTTTCCGTTTTTTTTTTCTCCGTGTTTTTCCCTTCGTTTTCAATTAGGCAATTCATTTGTGAATACTAAAGTTGTTTTTTCCGTTTTTTTCCCCTTTTATGTATTCGTTCTGGAGTTGAAAAAAAAACAAGGATCAAATGGTCGATTTCCTTACTAAACCCTCTCGAAAAATGCAAAAAAACAATCGCGCAAAGGGGGTGACCCTGACGACCCCAGACATCAAAATAATAATGTATGTTTACACACCCCTAAATAAAGTATTTTGATTTCAGGGGTCTAATCAAATTTTTGGTGGTTGAAACTGTTTCTCAATTCCTTTCCTATTTGAACCCTCTCTCAAACCCTTTCTGAAGCCCTCAAGACTCTTTGAGCTGGAAGCAGTACACTCCAAACTCCAAATCTTGCCTGAAAAGTTCTGGAGTTGAAAAAACAACAAGGCTCAAATGGTCGATTTCCTTACTAAACCATCTCGAAACATGCAAAACAACAATCGTGCAAAGGGTGTGGCCCTGGAGACCCCTGACATCAAAATAATAATAATGTTTACACGCCCCTAAATAAAGTATTTGGATTTCAGGGGTCTAATCAAATTTTTGATGGTTGAATACTAAAGTTCCAAGAAAGTTCACTTTATGTATTCGTTTTCAATTAGGCAATTCATTTGTGAATACTAAAGTTCCAAGAAAGTTCACTTTATGTATTCGTTTTCAATTAGGCAATTCATTTGTGAATACTAAAGTTCCAAGAAAGTTCACTTTATGTATTCGTTTTCAATTAGGCAATTCATTTGTGAATACTAAAGTTCCAAGAAAGTTCACTTTACGTATTCGTTTTCAATTAGGCAATTCATTTGTGAATGCTAAAGTTCCAAGAAAGTTCACTTTATGTATTCGTTTTCAATTAGGCAATTCATTTGTGAATACTAAAGTTCCAAGAAAGTTCACTTTATGTATTCGTTTTCAATTGGGGCAATTCATTTGTGAATGCTAAAGTTCCAAGAAAGTTCACTTTATGTATTCGTTTTCAATTAGGCAATTTGTTCGGCGCCACATAGGTCTGAAAATTTTCCAGGAACCCTAGGTGAATGTGTGGCCTAAACTTTATTTTGATGCTCTTAATGTTTGGGGGGGGAGGGGGGGGTTTATTAATACGATGTTGACATTCTGATAACATACAATGTAAATCAATGTAAAACTATTTTTGGTTTAGTTGAGTAGCAGTTGATTCCCATATTTCATACTTTCAGTGTGTGATAAGCACAGGTACCAGGTGGGAATCGACTTCAAGAACTGGCTGCAGTCGGCCGACGAGGAGTTGAAGGTGGCCTGGCAGTGGCAGCCGAAGCCGAAGGCGGAGGTCATGATTTGACCAGATATTACCAGTAGAAATGGTCATAGCAATGGAATATGAATTGCATATGGAATATTCATAGGATATGAACGGAATAGTGAAAACGATCATGGCACATATATGTTCAAATGATCCATAGTGCTTCATTACCCTCCGGTAGTCAAACATGGCAATGCGTTGACTGGTCCATCTGTACCCATGAAGTTTCAACACTACAATGCTCATAGTAAGAGTCATGGTCCAAATTTGATTCCCCGAGGGTACCTCATACCCCCAAAGAAATATATACTTTGTGTACATTAAAGATAATTAAAGTATAAATCAAAGATATAAATCACATGATTTTGGGGGGTATTTCTGGAGGAACATCTACCATTTTTCCGCGAAACCTTCCAGGTGGATGGTCTTCGGGTCGAAGGTCATGTCCCCGCTTGGCTCCGTGGCTACCTAGCCCGGGGACCCGAAACGAGAGCCGAGACGGGCATGGGGATGGGGCTGGTGGAACCTCCGAAATCTGGAGATTTACTATAGGGCTACTAGGATTTTACCAACAATAAAATATATAATACATATATGTATATATATATATACTATGGATTTTACCAACATTTACCAACAATACTTGGAGATTGGGGACTGCCAATGCAATTTTTGAAGAGATTCTTACCCATGGAATGTTGCCTATGTGTGGAAAGCGCGGTCAGTTCATGATGTTCCGGGGTCCCAAGTCTTGGCTGATTGCTAAGCTGCTCGATGTTGACTGCAGCTTCAGGACAAACAGGTCATAGCTGCCGCAGTGGCGGATGGCAAGATGTTCGCATGAGTACACAACTCCGAAACAGGGCACGGCATCATCCAATTTTTTGGGGCAAATAATTTGGGAGGCACGCCATGTACACCCAAAGTGCCTCTGAAACTCTGGGAACATGGATTTCTTTTTGGTTTGGGAATTCCTTTCTTGGTGCTTGTCAAATTGTAGCACTCTGCAAAGGGCCGGGCACAGAACAGTAAGCAGATTGGTTTTCTGGGTTTCTTCCGAATGAGGGAAGGGTTCAGAAGAAATTGGCACTTGAGTCTCTTTAGCTTCGACTCAAAGACTATTTTGATATTGCTTTTCAGGTACCTATTTAGCATTTTTGAGCCGGCTCCAAAAACTCTCAAATCACCCGGGTCCGTGCAGCTGTCGCTAGCCGTGCCATGGAAAGTGATTCAGCTGCCGAGTCAGCAGACGAAGCAGATGAGAGAGTGGAGGTACACATATTTCTGGCCCGAAAAAATGTCTATCTTAAGATGGAGGGTTTGCCCCCAAGTATTCAATTCTGTCGCCACTGGGGGACATGATGATAAACTAGTTGATCTCTCCGAAATAGGGTACCTCCGAATTTGATGGTTCATCACCAATTTCGCATTATTTTCCCTATGAAAAGTTGCGTGCCCCATGTTCAGACACACCCACTTCATGTGAATCTTCCGGTTTGAAAAGGACTGTTGAAACTGGCAGATTGGCGATCCATTTTGAAAACGAGATCAAACATGCAGTCAGTTTGGATCATTTTTTGGGGTTCTCAATTTCGACCAAGCAGTTGAAAGTATCAAAAAGTCTCCACTTAGGGGTGCAGTTCCAATAGTAAGGGTTATATAATAATATACTTCTAGGGCTTATATCCCATCTTTTCCTAGTTTTTGGAGGTTATTACGATAGTTATGCATAGTTGTACCACTTAATAACCCCAACTGTACCCCCAAGTACCAGCTATCTTGGTGTGAAAGCCATGGGATTCCCATTTGTTCTTACCCGTGGCCATCCCACAGTAGGCGGAGATTGGGTACAGCGAAACATGGGCGGCGCAGCTGCAGGAGCAACTGCTGATACTTGGCGAAAAAAGGATGGAGAAGGATGAGGATGCAATATCTATCTCCATCATTCTGTACACCTAATCAATCCTAATTCTAGACAGATGCTGTGCATTTACTATATTTTAATATAACGTAATATAATACATATATGATGTTACATATGCATATCGATGTATATATGTAGAGGCCCAGCACATCCATAAAGTGGGGATTGATTTCATCTATGCTAGGAGCCCCAGGAATCATAATGGGAAGGATATGTTCACAATGGTAGAGGGATGTGATTAACAACAAACTGGATCTAATGAATGCACATTCACATTTTGCAATGACGTGTGGTTGATTTTCTTGAATTCTATAGTTGTTGACATGATTCCAGACTTGCCTGTGAATCTCAGCAAGCCTATCGCATAACAGAATCACCCATGGTATTTTATATGGTATTATATTTAATATAAATGGTATTATATATACATACACATGGATGGGTATTATTAGTATAAATACACCGCCCAGGAAGCGGGGAGTCAACGACTACAGGATCTTTGACAGGTCAATTCCCCGTTGGAAGGGTGGGAAAAAAACGGTCGATAAAAAACGGTTAGCTTTATGGGAATCCTCGGGAATCCCATGTTTGGAGGTTGAACATGCCATACATGGGGGGTGTCCGATGATTTGAACCATTGATCATATCTCAGTTGATTGATTATGGTTAAAGGGGTTGACTGGTGACTTAGTTTCTTTTGGATTATTATGACCCATGATAGTGATACCAATTGACCATCCACTATATAGAATTGGATAGGGGTATTTTTCATCATCATAGCTCACTTGACGTATCCCCATTTTTCGTGAGTGTTTTGATCAATTTGTTCATGCTTCCCTAATGGTGTCCAAAAGCAGCAACTGTTTGGTAGGGCAAACTAACACAGATTCTGGAAAATCAACCATGTTCTTTTTCGGTAAATCATGTATAAATGATTATATATACATGGGCGATTTTTGATAGCGCTGTTCCTCCTGCGGTAAACCAATGTTCAGCGCCTCCTGGGCAGGTTTGGATCTGACATTTTCCAGAGATCATCGTCTTCACCTCAGTGGACTGTTGGCCATGATTCACGGCTGCTATGAGCAGTTTACATTGGGATCTAACCTACAGAAACCGAAGAACAATGGTGAAATGTGATATAGCAAGTCTTAATAGGAATATCGGAATATAACATAATATAACCATATACCCATGATTGGAGGCTTACTTGGATTTCAGTAGGAATACAGAGCCCATGTGCCGGCGTTTTTCCCTAGACCATGAAAGATCAGACCGGTAGAGCAACAAGATTCAGCGCTTGAACCACGGCATATTCATATTCAATGGAATGGTGTGCAAACCCGAGTAGAACCAAAGCCCGATGGAGAACCTGTTTGATTGCACCACTGGTCATTGATTTGTCATATATCCCAAAACCATAAAATATGATCCATGTATAGTATATGTACTTTTCAAAGGAAATTGAGGAGAGAAACTTCGCTGGTACGGACATTGTGGCAATGAACTAAAAAGAGCTGAGCTGAGTTTTGGATCACTGAGAAACCGCCGCAAGGGGTGTTGCACTTGTGTTGTTCGCAAGTCATTTTTTGTTTTATAGGATCTAAGAAAAGCCGTGTAACTTTCGATGTAATTTTGGGTATAACCATCCAGACATGGAAGATGTTGGGAATGATTGTTAATTAGTTGGTTATTGCGTCATCTTCACGATGATATGCCCGTTTGTTTTTCTCCGCCAGACCTGATGTGGCCCCTTGCCTTGGCCGGCAGGGAGATCAAACCAGAAGATTTTCCCCTTCGTTTGTGTAGCAAGGGTCAGGAGGAGAAACCGAGTCATATTCTGGGGCTGGTAGAGGATCTATGTCTGGGACATTTTGAAAGATATGGACATTTTATGACATTTTTTGTGAATATCTAACATGGATAGAAACTGAAAAAAATCTCGTGATACTCGATTTGGGATTGAACATGGATCCAGTAAATGTCCTCCCACATGGGGACTCTATGGTCCCCACTTAAGATGGAGATTTGATGGGCCCCAACAGGGCCAGAACGGTGTAAACCAGTGAGACAGCCATCAAAATGCTTCTATCATACTTGAGGTGACTGAAATATTGGAAAACAAAACAAGAGTTGGTTATCGCTTTTGGATGGTGAATAAACCTGCGTTGATGTTTTCGGTAAATTTTCTGGTTATTTTCGGGTAGATTGATCATGCCTTCATACTTTTCCACCCACTTTGTGTGGAGAAGACCTGGGTAGTTGCAGACTTTCTTGCAGAGTGCCTGTTGTCAAATTGTGTTTGTCAGTCTCAAGTTGCTATTTGAAAATTTGGCTCGGTCCCAAGAAAAGACGACTATGCTTATCTAATTTTTGATATTTTTTGATCTACTAATTACACATAACTATGATTATATCTATGTGTATATATATATGCATATGTATATATGTATATTTATACGTGTATATGTATACACATTATTGTGTGTTTGGGGATGTGGTAAACACTGCGCCGTAGAGATTTGACCGAGCCGGAGCCATTTGGGCCAGGAGGGAGGACCATGCCTTAGAGAAGCCGCGGTGATCGAATATGAGAAGGTGCCAACATGTGCCAATCGTTGCAAGCAGTTGGTAACTGGAGAACAAACGATGAATGACTGGGGGGTATATATATATAATATAATACATACATATATATATATATAATTATATATATATACACATATATGGGATATCCATGGATATCCAAAATGCATCTGGCTTACACACATAGTTATGAACGGGTCATGAAGCTGGATGCACATCCAAGTAGGACAGGTATGCTCAGGTGGCTGTTATGGGGCTGTAGGGACTTGGGAATCCCTAAATGGATCCAGCGAGCTACAGCCAAGATTTAGCGTAATGGAAATTGAGCTGGGGCTTGGAAAACGATAATAGGCTCTTCAAAAAACGATAAGATTTGCTATATTCCCAAGACCTTAAAAACGATAATACACTCTTTAAATATTGATGACTTGAAGTATATTATTTGGGGCTTAAGTAGCTTCTTAGAAGGTGTTTGGATCCATAGGGTACTGACTGTATATTATGACCACTGATACTTGGACTACAAGGGGATTCTGCTGGTCTTACCAAATCCTACTCCTGCATCCGCCGCCGAACTCGTGCCATAGGCCATTTTGAAGCTGCGTTCCCAGGGAGCTCCAGGTTGACCCGGGGACCATTCGAAGGGAGGATTATGGGTCACAGGTTGGCAAGGGAATCCAACAGTGTCTGGAATGGATATTTTTGTGGAAATTCCGAAGTCAGGTTAGATTTCCACTTATAGACTTATAGATTCTCAAAGAAAGGATGAAGACGGCTCAAGCTTGGCTGAGAATGGATCAAGGAATATCAAGTGATCAAAATGGATCAGCCAGAAAAGGTTTACTAACTCTGGATGACCTGATTTAACTATATCTAACATTATCTAACTGAGATTTCTGTTGGGGCTCCTTTTTTCCTCACTGGACGATCATCAGGATGGTCATCGGTGGACCTTCAGCGACCGCATATGGCAGAGATCAGTTTCTCTATGTTTCTCTAAGATTCTCTAATTACATGGCCATATTTTATATCATTTGATAGTGACTAATAGTGTAAAAAGATGTGCTGAGTACAACAAAAATTGATAGTGGTTGAGTGGTTGAATGTCATGTCTGCAGATTTGGCAACGATGACAAGCGAGTAATAAGTTTCCGACCAGGTGCTGGGTTGCTCTACCCTGCGGAGCAGAGCCGTGGCTTAGAAGACTTTGCCGTTGCCTTTGGCGGTGGCGGCGTGCGCTCAGGCGGGGCATATTTTGGTAAACCTTGGTAAATGGCAGGTGAAATTCTGTCAATCTTTAGCTATAAAATGCTATAAATATGAATGATTATGAATCTAAAATGGAGGAAGATCTTATCCTGCTCAAAATTTGTTGGTTTGTTGGTTTGTTGGAGTTTGTCGACAAAATCTACAAGATGAGCCATGCAACAATCCAGGGCTGAGATTTTGCTGATGGCAACCTGCCCATGGCGCGAACGCCAGGGGCGTTTTGCACCGGAGTTCTGTGGGCTTTAGCCGAGCAAAACCGCCTGCGACACGTGACCCACCTCTCCTCCGTTTCGGGAGGCCTCGACAGGATGGCTGGAGGACTTGTCCCAAACTGTAGTATCAAACTGTAATATCAGGTGTTGGTCATGTCCTTGTGGTTTGGTGGAATCCCTGAGGATTGTGGATGAATACAATGAATACCTCTGCATTTTTGGGATTTTTATTGTTGGACATTGTTAGATCTTGACTCATTGAAGCTGTTTTCCTTTCTATTGTTGGTTGAATCCCACTATTTTAAGGTCATTCATATTGAAGTGATCTCCCAATTCTGGGGTTGTGATCACTGTATCCCCAAAAATTATTCATCCCAGGTACTGTATCGCTTATAATTATCATATTTTTTTACTATATAATTTATATAATGTGTATAGAGACTATCTTTCTTTTGCTCATCTTACTTTCTGTTTTTGCACGGCATCTATCATTCAAACCATGGGAATATCACTGTGTTGATCTGATCCGCTTCATCTCTCATTTTTGGGAGTACTTACAACATCTTGCAACCGTATGACCATTTTTTTCACAAGTTGATACACACACACACATATATATATATATACACATAATATATATATATATACATAATATATACATAATATATATATATATACACAGAATATATACATAATATATATATATATATACACAAACATTTCTGTTCATTGCCCGTATGTCCCCATCGTTCGTTGTGGTTCACCCCGCAGGTTCTATCGCTGCCTCCGGCTTCGCGTCCTTCCTGGTCAACGCTCACCGCGAAGGACGGGAGACGAACCCCGAGCAACGCTATCGAGCACCTTGGACGACATCGCCCTCGCGGTGGTTGGGGGATCATGGGCCATCCGGGAAATCAACTGGTTGGTGGTTTGGAACATGGCTTTTATTTTTACATATTGGGAATGTCATCATCCCAACTGACTGTCATCTTTTTCAGAGGGGTAGGTATACAACCAACCAGATAATAGTGTATGACGTAATACATGGATCAGGTGATGTAGACTAATTATTGATATACAAGGGGAAGAAGGACATAGATGACAATGGTAGCAATGAGAATCACAATAATCACATTATAATCAGAGTGTCCATGAGATATTGATCACAATAATCACATTATAATCAGAATAATCACATTATAATCACATTATAATCAGAGAGCAGTAATGATATTGATGAATCGTTGATGAATCTCAACGGACGATCGGTCCATCCGAGCCACCAACAGGTCAGCGGGGTCCGTTGAGTCCATTGGCGCAGGATTTCGCAATCCACAGTATGCCTATATAATTACTGTAGTACTAGGATTTTTGGGGCTTATTTGCAGCTTGATACAGATTTCCAAGGCCCAGAAGTTTGATCGCTTGGCACATCAGCATCTTTCTTTCAGTGATTCGATATGTTGGGGGAAAGGAATTCATTGACTTCATTGAATCCCTTTAAGACGGTTGACATGCTAAGTGGCTTTATGGCGACAGCAGATGCGTGCCATTTGCATCTCAGCCTCACTTTCTGTTTCACAGCTGACTAAGGAAGTCGTTGCCGATTTCATTGAGAGAAGTCAGCGAAATGCCGGCTATTTGGTGTCCTTCAACAACCTCTGGAAGGCTGGCTGAGAAGAATGAGAACTCATTGCTCCAATCACGGCAATCACAGCATGGTCGTCAAAATCTGCTCAATTGGCTGGGAACTATTGCAGAACCATCCAAAGACATAGGCAAAAACATGGAACAAAAACAGCAATCATCCAGCAATTAAATGTTTCTGTTTCAATGGGGAACAATAATTTATAGTCGTTGATTTTTCCATTAAGATGAAAACCTCAATTTTTCGGCCAGGGGGACTTTCCAGCCAGCCATGTTTGATTCCCAAAAATCGGGTTTTTCTCGGTATATCTTGTTTGTTGAATCCCCATTGTATCCCTAGCCCCATATTGATATCCCATATTGATATCCCATATCAATGGTAATATCCATGGAATCCCATATAAAAACAGGCTATATCAAGTTGATATCCACAATGGTAATATACCCTGGACCCCCATATTCCATGGAGATATTACCATTGATATCCCATCTTCCAATACGATCCCCATGAATAGCCCATGATTTTTTCATCCCAGATCATCGTCACCACCTCGAGGCTCCTGAGGACAACTCCTCTGCAAGCCCCAGGACCCAACGTGCGCGTTAAAAGTGCAAGGATAACACGTGTGAATCTAGAATACATTGATTATCACACTTGTAATACATTTAGATTAAGGATAATAGTTGATTTTTTTTAATACTAGGATTGCAGTAATAATATAACACAGTGAATCTATTGCTACTGATAATAAGTAATGGCAATTACTATAGTAGTAGAATTACTGTAGTAATTGTTTATATAGTAAAGTAATTTGTGTTACTGTCAATAGCAGTGATCCATTAATTCACACTAGCAATATTACTAAACAATTACTCTATTGGCAGTTAATGATCATCATTCATAGTGAACCTATTATTCATCATCATGATTGATCTAATATTACTATTACTAGTACCTATTGTTACTAAGGAATGTGAAGTTATTCCTACTACTAAACAAACATTATTATCATTGCTAGCTAACACAATCTTGATGGTGATACAGTAGTATAGTAGTAATTTCCTGATCATCATCATGATCATCGTGGCCATCCAGCGCTCCAGGATTTGGGATTTGCCACTGATGTTCTTGGTGGTCCTGGGCGTCTTGGTCGCTGCGCCCGCGGTCTTCTGTGCCACTTGGTCTTCTGATCTCATGGCCTGAGATTTTTCAGGTCATTGATGGGTCAAAGCACTCACCTTCCAGTTTGCGTCTAGAGGATATATCCAAAGTTTGCGTCCAGTTGGATATATCCTCTCTAGATATTCACTAGATTATTTTGACAATTCACTTGAGTCTCTGCTTTGGACCAGTTTTGATCGAACTGTCTTCAGAATAAAAAATCTCAGGATGATCCTCGAAACCGGCACCGCTGACCGAGGTCTTTTACGTGGTCCCAGTGACTCTGCTGATTGAGGTGGGGGAAAAAATGGTCACAGAAGCAATGTGCACAGCCTAATCAGGTTTCATCTAATTGATGCTGAGTCGAGTATATATATATATATATATGATTATATATGCATAGACAAAAATATAACAGCTAATTAACCAGATTGATGAATCTAATAATGACATTATCAGATCTAGTATAGATTGTGTCTAGATTGTGTCTAGATTGTGTCTAGATTGTGTCTAGATGAATCAGCCATGATAATGTCACAATTATCTAATTATACTAGAGTCTGGGTATAATCTAGTAAAACGTATAATAAAACGTATAATGTCAACCCTGGAGTAATACACCCCATTCGGCTGAATTATTGGGGGGTACCATTTCAGTATCAGATTATCACTATTTGGGGAGTACCCCCCCATTATTAATAAACCATGGTTTCTTTTTCGGAGTTATATTAGTGTAGGATAGGATAATACGATATCAAAAACGATTCGGTTTAGATTTCGATTCTGCCACGTGCACCTGTTCTTGCGAGGCCTTTTGGGGTGGCGCCATGCGACGGGGCACCGAGTGGAGTCGGGCTGGGCGGGCCCTATGGACCTCTGGATGTTTGGCACCACGTTTACTCAGGAGAAACGAGTAAATATGTTTGTTTTCAAATCGGAAATGGGGGTTCTATCATTCCATGAAGGAATGATAAGGAATGCAAGATATGGTTGAATATTTGGCTTGTGGTGCGTGGTTTATCCAAGGATGGTGGAACATTGGAGATTTTCAGACCAACCAAAACTAAGGGGTTTGGCATGAGTTGGCCAGATATTTGGGGAAACTAGCATGGACCTCCAGATATTCTTCAGTCTTAGTAATCTTAGCATATCTTAGCACAAGCCTTCCCAATTTGGGCACCCATATTTGATCTCACGCTCATGCAGCTGTGTAGATATAACATTGATCACTAGTGGTCTGGAAAAAGCGGCTCGGAGCTCTCCCTGCTAAAATGGGGAGCCAGCTGGAGCTATGAATTGAGTTTCTCAACCACACATTTTGAATGGAAAAAGCGGCTCGGAGCTCTCCCTGCTAAAATGGGGAGCCAGCTGGAGCTATGAATTGAGTTTCTCAACCACACATTTTGAATGGTGCACTGTACCTCCTCAGTAGAGATCGGAAGATTTCGGATGTTGCCCTTTGGGATGATCATCCATCGCTAAGGCAGTTGTTTTTGCAGTCACTTCCAAGAGAAGGCGGCGCCGGAACTTCCGTGGGATCCCGAGGAGTAGCCTCTGTTAGACCAACATAGCTATAGAAATTCAGCATTTTTAATAGGGAATGCAACTGAAAATGGGCCATTGTCAATAGCTATGTGAAATTACCAGATGGTATCCAAATTGTATCTCTTTTTTAGCCAGAACCCAACAACCGACTTCATCAAACTGCATTGAATAATGTTGGCTGGAACCCACAATAAAAATACCTAATTATAGCCCATCTATGGTTTCTTGTATGCGCGTAGATTTCCCTTCAACCATATTCCAGTTTAAAAAATGGCTTGTGTGTAGATGATTTGACATCATCATCTTATGAATAGATGATTTCATAATATCCATCCATCATGGATTCATATGGATTTATAGTATATTTGTATCATCCATATTGGTGTCATATATCTCAAAAATATACTATTGGTATCATATATGGTATACCAATATGGATTTAGTATATATAATAGCTATGGAAAATCACCATTATTAATGGGTAAATCCACTATAAATGGCCATTTTTAATAGCTATGTTAGTTTACCAGAGGGCATATACCAATATATACCATCCATATCTTAAAACAACCCTTTGACGCTCGAGAGGTGCCCTGCAGCTACGGTGAAATCCTTCAGCCACATGGGACCATGGGAGGGATGGAGGTCGAAAAACCAGGGACGCCACGAACGGGTAGAAACCCCGATGTAAAGCCAGGGAAAATGGGACTTCTACGGAAAATCTGGGGATTTTTCCATGAAAACCTGGGGATTTTTTCATGACATTTCATCGGAGGTTTTTTTTGAATCCCATCCCCCGAACGCCCGAAGACTTTTTTCACCCCAGAAACCATGGTTTAGTAAGGGGTTTGCACATCTACGGAAGCATCTGGGGGGTGTTTGATATTAGGATGGGATTGGTGTCGTAAGCCCAATGCCACCATCCCACGAACCAACGATGACTATTGGTCGGGGCTGGTTTGTTGGGTTCATCAGGTTTACCACATGATTTTTGAAGCATCTTGAAGCAACCTTTCAAATTCAAGTAATCTTGAAACTGGCCACATTTGCATAAGCTTCTGCATCTCGGTCAAATTGCATCTCGGTAGACTGCAGGAGCTTCAGCCTGTACCTCATCTTTGTCATGGTGGCTATCTTGATGACACTCGTCCGGGATGCTCAGATTTCAATGTTTTGTTGATTCCATGCCCAGTTGGGAAGTATCACATCGCTTTTTTACGTAGACATGAAATCATGGTTTTTAGTCTCAGGAAACTTCATGGTTGGGTGAAGATTCCGAAGCATTCAGAATGGCAATCATATGGAAAAACCATGGATCTTCGATGACCCCCAGATGCCATTCATCTCCCATTTTTCGTGATCTCTGGAGGCTGATCCCCATGAGTCCCCCTTTTTTTTTCTGGTACATCCAACCATTGTACCATCTATTTTTGTGCATAAAAAAACATCCATGGTCGATTAAAAAAAATCAACAAGACTGGATTTCCCGACAAATTTTCATGGTGGATTTCCCATCCAAAATCATCCAACGATATGAAAAATGGAGAAACATGGTGGGTTCTCCCAATTCTGCCATGCTTTTGTTCTCACCAAGGCCTTGGTCTACAAGTGCTGCGGCATGGAGGAGCTGCTGAAGACCTTGCGTCGAGGAGAGAAGCGCAGCGCCAGGCCTTGGGGACTTGGGGACTTGGGAGTCGATGGGGATGGGTCAAGGCAGATGGCCCAATGATTGGATGATTTAATGGGACTTTATGGTGATTTAATGGGATCTTAATGGGATATACCGTCTGGTTATGACTAACATAGCGAACTGGAACATCCCAACCATAAATGGAGGTCTCTATAGCTGGGAAAATATCATCTATTTCGATTAGGGCCATCTATACCATGGCTATGTTAGTCATAACCAGAGGGTTACTACATGTTAAAGCGAAACCACCAAACTTAGATCATCTTAGATCTCTGGTTTTGCAAGTCATTCATTACATTTATTTTGACCCATACCCAGATGATGGGAATTCATGTGATTACACTCTGGTACTTTTTTTTTTGGTTCGCTTTTGAACATGGCCATTTAAAAGTTGATTTACCTACATATGGTAAAAGTGCTGATTTTTCATAGCTATGGTATTTACCCGAGGGTAATATGACTGTATAGCAGCCTCCAAAAAGATAGAAGTTAGCAAAACCATGAACAATCTAATTTTAGAGTAGTGATAACTTACTTTTCTATCTTTAAATGGTGGTCAGTACCGGGTTTACATATATAGGGAAAACATGGTAGAGCACAAGCAAAACATATTCTTTGTTTCCGTTAATGTTTCCTTCAAACACATGTTTTGGAGAACTTTGTTTCCTCACTTAGGGATTTTTTAGTTTGGACAAGTTGGTTCTCACTTTGGATCTGCTTTGGGCTTGGTGACCGTTTGATTTTTGTATTTTTTTGTGTAATTATAAATTATGAATATATTATATGAATAAATAGTTACATATTGTCATATATAATTATCTAGATAATTATCAATCATTATATATATATTTATTGTTTTATAATTTTATAATATATAACTATGCATATTGACATTATATATATACATACATATGTTAAACCTACATCACTCTATATTTTACAATGCATCCCAGTAAGTGCTTCATAAGCATATCCAATCAGGCTTAAATGTTTCTAACCGAGTTTTGGCTTGACACGAGCCCAGCCTCCCCTCGGTCCCACGGTTTGGGAGTCGCCGTTCGCCGCGGCAGGTGGTTTCTTCTCTGGAGATCTGTGACACATCTGTGCACCCGATGGGTGGTACTCCCGGCATGGTCCCATTGGTCCGGTGGGTCATGGGTTAGATTGTATAGTCTAACTTACCAATCCTCATTGTCAACATTTCCAGAGATTAACTTGTGAAATGGTTAACTTAATGATCATTTTGGGTATGGCTCCAAATTATCGATCCCCATTTTGACCGAATGCAAAACATGTCATTCCTTGTGTTTCCTTGGTACCCTGGTACCTGAAGTTTGAGGCATCCCCAGATCTTGTTGGTCGAAGGGAAATTTTGCGGCTGATGTTCCATGATTTTTCCTTAAACCAATCCAGCCAACTCCCTTTTTTTTGTTTTACAACTGTTAGTGAAATGACGTTTTAACTCATTTGACATCGCCAGTTTTGAATATTCATTCACATGCACTTATACAAATCAATAAAATTCATATGAACTCACACGAAGCCCCATGCAAACCCTGATGTTTCGAGGCTTCGATGGCCCAATTTATGACCCCTTGGCAGGTGATGCTTGTGATGGTGCTGGCCACGGTACTGCTGGTCTACACAGCCGTCGGGAGCCCGGGGATTTCATGGGAGGTGTGGGAAACCCCAATGATTTTGGTATGGGATATTTTTCACATGATTTAAACCCCAAAATCATAGGGATACTATGGGGGATTTGGCCAAGAAAATGGGAGAATGATGGGTGGTCTTTGCAACCCATTTTTGCTGATGACTTGGGGTTTTCCACATTAGTCTTCAGGAAGTTCGACCACCGATCAGCCGTCCCTGTCTCATTGGCGAGGAACTCTGGGACTATGGAGAGTGGCTGCGGCAGCAAGTTATGGGGCATTGAAGAATTGAGTTGGACAAAGCATTTGCAGAAATTGTTCAGAGTTGCATAGGAACATGAAACCCCGGGTATAGCTCCTCTGCCGCAATGTTCAGGTTTCAATCATGTTGTAAAATTTCTGTGCCAAACCATGCCAGGGTTTGGGCGGAAAGAAGCATGTCAAACGGTCCGTTTGAAAACAGGTGGTGCACCGAATATCTCCGGATCTCTGCAGTGCTTCAGTGCGAAAGATGTTTCAGCTGCAGGCGGCGTATGCAAGACGGGCCAGCTATGTGCAAGATCTACTACGATGAAGGCCGAACCGGAGATAGCTGACAGTTCGCTATGGAGGGTAATTTAATTTGGGATTTTTTTTTTGGGGGGGGTATTTTTTTTTTTCCTCCTCTCCTGGTGGCTTCTGTGGCTCCTGGTGGCTCCTGGTGGCTTCTGCGGCTCCTGGTGGCTCCTGGTGGCTTTTGCGGCTCCTGGTGGCTCCTGGTGGCTTCTATGGCTCCTGGCTCCTAGAGCTCCTCGCTCCTATGGCTCATTTATCATCTATCGATCAATCTATCAGTGAAGCATGTTCACCAGGTGCATGTTGTGCATTAGATACACCTTGAGTATCATCTATCTATCTATCTATCCATCCATCTATCTATCTATCTATCTATCTGTCTATCTATCTGTCTATCTATCTATCTGTCTATCTATCTATCTATCTAACTATCTATCTGTCTATCTATCTATCTATCTATCTAACTATCAAACTATCTATCTACTTGATTCTATCTATATCTATCTATGTCTATCTATATCTATATCTATCTGTATCTATCTATTTCTATCTATATCTATCTATATCTATCTATATCTATCTGTATCTATCTATATCTATCTATATCTATATATATATATATCCATCTGTATCTATCTATATCTATCTATATCTACGTATCTATATCTATCTATATCTATCTATATCTATTTATATCTATCTATATCTATCTATATCTGTATCTATATCTACATCTATGGCTGTATCTATATATCTATATATCTATTTATGTATATAATTATCTATATATCTATATCTCTATATATATATATATCTCTATATATTTCTATATATCTCTATATCTATATATATATCTCTATATATCTCCATATATTTCTATATATATATATATATATCTATAGTTATATCTATATATCGATATACCACTATATATCAATATATCTGTATCTATATATCTATATATCTATATATCTATATATCTATATATCTATATATCTATATATCTATATATCTATATTCCTATATCTTTAAATCTATATATCTTTAAATCTATATATCTTTAAATCTATATATCTTTAAATCTATATATCTTTAAATCTATATATCTTTAAATCTATATCTATATATATATATATCTATCTATCTATCTATCTATCTAAAAGGTTTGCATTATCATCCGGATGATTTTTCAAACCCCAAGCCAACCCTGAACCAAAGCTTATATAAAGAGATCTTAAACCAACTCGATGATAACATCAAATGAAACTATTGTGCATCGTTGTGCCTTAATCTACATTCCACATGTTTCCAAGGTGCATGTGTAGTATATACACCTTAACTTGAGTATCACATTCAACCCAGCACCTTGCATGTGAAAATAGGTGTTTCCAATCTGCTTTGGGGGGAGGCGCCTCCCGCTTTTTTTTATTTAAATTCAAACTTGCACACATTTCAATACACTAGTTTGGTTAGACTATATATATATATATTGTATATATTAAAGGGCTACGCCCTCTGCCGCCGACCCCTGGACACTGGAGGGTCATGCCTGCCTCTGTGTCGTAAGCATGAAATGAACCCTAAAGAAACCAGAAACTGACCTAAATAAACCATTTGTATGAAACTTTAAATGGCATCCTAAAGAGAGGCCACGGCCCCCAGTGCCTAACGTCACTTTCTGAACCTACAAGAAAACTAGCTGTTTCAGCTGCTTCCAGCCGCCAAAAGCTTCACCAACGGCGCGCGCCTTCGCCACACCAAAACAGCAGGGCCCTGAGGGACGGACCGGGCCTGCGGGCCACGGCCTCCAGTGCCTAACGTCACTTTCTGAACTTACAAGAAAACTAGCTGTCTGACCCAAAACGGCGCCTGCGCCACAACCAAACAGCAGGGCCGAAGGACGGACCGGGCCTGCGGGCCACGGCCCCCAGTGCCTAACGTCATTTTCTGCACCTACAAGAAAACTAGCTGTCTGAGCTGTCTTCCAGCCGCCAAAAGCTTCACAAACGGCGCCTCCATCACAGCCAAACAGCAGGGCCCTGAGGGACGGACCGGGCCTGCGGGCCACGGCCCCCAGTGCCTAACGTCACTTTCTGAACCTACAAGAAAACTAGCTGTCTGACCCAAAACGCCTGCGCCACAGCCAAACAGCAGGGCCCTGAGGGACGGACCGAGCCTGCGGGCCACGGCCCCCAGTGCCTAACGTCACTTTCTGAACCTATACAAGAAAACTAGCTGTCTGACCCAAAACGGCGCCTGCGCCACAGCCAAACAGCAAGGCCCTGAAGGACGGACCGGGCCTGCGGGCCACGGCCCCCAGTGCCTAACGTCACTTTCTGAATTACAAGAAAACTAGCTGTCTGAGCTGCCTTCCAGCCGCCAAAAGCTTCACAAACGGCGCCTCCGCCACACCAAAACAGCAGGGCCCTGAGGGACGGACCGGGCCTGCGGGCCACGGCCCCCAGTGCCTAACGTCACTTTCTGAACCTACAAGAAAATTATAGCTGTCTGATCCAAAACGGCGCCTGCGCCACAGCCAAACAGCAGGGCCCTGAGGGACGGACCGGGCCTGCGGGCCACGGCCCCCAGTGCCTAACGTCACTTTCTGAACCTACAAGAAAATTATAGCTGTCTGATCCAAAACGGCGCCTGCGCCACAGCCAAACAGCAGGGCCCTGAGGGACGGACCGGGCCTGCGGGCCACGGCCCAGTGCCTAACGTCACTTTCTGAACTTACAAGAAAACTACAGCTGTCTGACCCAAAACGGCGCCTGCGCCACGGCCAAACAGCAAGGCCCTGAAGGACGGACCGGGCCTGCGGGCCACAGCCCCCAGTGCCTAACGTCGCTTTCTGAATCTACAAGAAAACTAGCTGTCTGAGCTGTCTTCCAGCCGCCAAAAGCTTCACAAACGGCGCCTCCGCCACACCAAAACAGCAGGGCCCTGAGGGACGGACCGGGCCTGCGGGCCACGGCCCCCACTGCCTAACGTCACTTTCTGAACCTACAAGAAAACTAGCTGTCTGACCCAAAACGGCGCCTGCGCCACAGCCAAACAGCAGGGTCCTGAGGGACGGACCGGGCCTGCGGGCCACGGCCCCCAGTGCCTAACGTCACTTTCTGAACCTACAAGAAAACTAGCTGTCTGACCCAAAACGGCGCCTGCGCCACAGCCAAACAGCAGGGCCCTGAGGGACGGACCGGGCCTGCGGGCCACGGCCCCCAGTGCCTAACGTCACTTTCTGAACCTACAAGAAAACTAGCTGTCTGACAGGCGCCTGCGCCACAAAACAGCAGGGCCCTGAGGGACGGACCGGGCCTGCGGGCCACGGCCCCCAGTGCCTAACGTCACTTTCTGAACCTACAAGAAAACTAGCTGTCTGACCCAAAACGGCGCCTGCGCCACAGCCAAACAGCAGGGCCCTGAGGGACGGACCGGGCCTGCGGGCCACGGCCCCCAGTGCCTAACGTCACTTCCTGAACCTACAAGAAAACTACAGCTGTCTGACCCAAAACGGCGCCTGCGCCACAGCCAAACAGCAGGGCCCTGAGGGACGGACCGGGCCTGCGGGCCACGGCCCCCAGTGCCTAACGTCACTTTCTGATCTTACAAGAAAACTAGCTGTCTGAGCTGTCTTCCAGCCGCCAAAAGCTTCACAAACAGCGCCTCCGCCACACCAAAACAGCAGGGCCCTGAGGGACGGACCGGGCCTGCGGGCCACGGCCCCCAGTGCCTAA